GTGGATGGTGGGTGAATTGGTCAGGGCTAGGGGTAGGTAGAATGGATGGTGGGTGATTTGGTCAGGGTTAGGGGTAGGTAGAGTGGATGGTGGGTGAATTGGTCAGGGCTAGGGGTAGGTAGAGTGGATGGTGGCTGATTTGGTCAGGGCTAGGTAGAGTGGATGGTGGGTGAATTGGTCAGGGCTAGGTAGAGTGGATGGTGGGTGAATTGGTCAGGGCTAGGTAGAGTGGATGGTGGGTGAATTGGTCAGGGCTAGGGGTAGGTAGAGTGGATGGTGGGTGATTTGGTCAGGGCTAGGTAGAGTGGATGGTGGCTGATTTGGTCAGGGCTAGGTAGAGTGGATGGTGGGTGAATTGGTCAGGGCTAGGGATAGGTAGAGTGGATGGTGGGTGAATTGGTCAGGGCTAGGGGTAGGTAGAGTGGATGGTGGGTGAATTGGTCAGGGCTAGGGGTAGGTAGAGTGGATGGTGGGTGAATTGGTCAGGGCTAGGGGTAGGTAGAGTGGATGGTGGGTGATTTGGTCAGGGCTAGGTAGAGTGGATGGTGGGTGATTTGGTCAGGGCTAGGTAGAGTGGATGGTGGGTGAATTGTTCAGGACTGGAGGTAGGTAGAGTGGATGGTGGGTGAATTGGTCAGGGCTAGGGGTAGGTAGAGTGGATGATGGGTGAATTGGTCAGGGCTAGGGGTAGGTAGAGTGGATGGTGGCTGATTTGGTCAGGGCTAGGTAGAGTGGATGGTGGCTGATTTGGTCAGGGCTAGGGGTAGGTAGAGTGGATGGTGGGTGATTTGGTCAGGGCTAGGGGTAGGTTGAGTGGATGGTGGGTGAATTGGTCAGGGCTAGGTAGAGTGGATGGTGGGTGAATTGGTCAGGGCTAGGGGTAGGTAGAGTGGATGATGGGTGAATTGGTCAGGGCTAGGTAGAGTGGATGGTCGGTGATTTGGTCAGGGCTAGGTAGAGTGGATGGTGGCTGATTTGGTCAGGGCTAGGGGTAGGTAGAGTGGATGGTGGGTGATTTGGTCAGGGCTAGGGGTAGGTTGAGTGGATGGTGGGTGAATTGGTCAGGGCTAGGTAGAGTGGATGGTGGGTGATTTGGTCAGGGCTAGGGGTAGGTAGAGTGGCTGGTGGGTGAATTGGTCAGGGTTAGGGGTAGGTAGAGTGGATGTTGGGTGAATTGGTCAGGGCTAGGGGTAGGTAGAGTGGATGGTGGGTGATTTGGTCAGGGCTAGGGGTAGGTAGAGTGGATGGTGGGTGAATTGGTCAGGGCTAGGGGTAGGTAGAGTGGATGGTGGGTGAATTGGTCAGGACTAGAGGTAGGTAGAGTGGATGGTGGGTGAATTTGTTAGGGCTAGGGGTAGGTAGAGTGGATGGTGGGTGAATTGGTCAGAGCTAGGGGTAGGTAGAGTGGATGGTGAGTGAATTGGTCAGGGCCAGGGGAAGGTAGAGTGGATGGTGGGTGATTTGGTCAGGGCTAGGGGTAGGTAGAGTGGATGGTGGGTGAATTGGTCAGGGCTAGGTAGAGTGGATGGTGGGTGAATTGGTCAGGGCCAGGGGTAGGTAGAGTGGATGGTGGGTGAATTGGTCAGGGCTAGGGGTAGGTAGAGTGTATGGTGGGTGAATTGGTCAGGACTAGGAGTAGGTAGAATGGATGGTGGGTGAATTGGTCAGGGCTAGGTAGAGTGGATGGTGGGTGAATTGGCCAGGGGTAGGTAGAGTGGATGATGGGTGAATTGGCCAGGGGTAGGTCGAGTGGATGTTGGGTGAATTGGTCAGGGCTAGGTAGAGTGAATGCTGGGTGAATTGGTCAGGGCTAGGGGTAGGTAGAGTGGATGCTGGGTGAATTGGTCAGGGCTAGGGGTAGGTAGAGTGGATGCTGGGTGAATTGGTCAGGGCTAGGGTTAGGTAGAGTGGATGGTGGGTGATTTGGTCAGGGCTAGGTAGAGTGGATGGTGGGTGAATTGGTCAGGGCTAGGTAGAGTAGATGGTGGGTGAATTGGTCAGGGCCAGGGGTAGGTAGAGTGGATGGTGGGTTAACTGGTAGAGCTAGAGGTACAGTGAGGGAAAAAAGTATTTGATCCCCTGCTGATTTTGTACGTTTGCCCACTGACAAAGAAATGATCAGTCTATAATTTTAATGGTAGGTTTATTTGAACAGTGAGAGACAGAATAACAACAAAAAAATAAAAATAAACGCATGTCAAAAATGTTGTAAATTGATTTGCATTTTAAATGAGGGAAATAAGTATTTGACCCCTCTGCAAAACATGACTTAGTACTTGGTGGCAAAACCCTTGTTGGCAATCACAGAGGTCAGACGTTTCTTGTAGTTGGCCACCAGGTTTGCACACATCTCAGGAGGGATTTTGTCCCACTCCTCTTTGCAGATCTTCTCTAAGTCATTAAGGTTTCGAGGCTGATGTTTGGCAACTCGAACCTTCAGCTCCCTCCGCAGATTTTCTATGGGATTAAGGTCTGGAGACTGGCTAGGCCACTCCAGGACCTTAATGTGCTTCTTCTTGAGCCACTCCTTTGTTGCCTTGGTCGTGTGTTTTGGGTCATTGTCATGCTGGAATACCCATCCATGACCCATTTTAAATGCCCTGGCTGATGGAAGGAGGTTCTCACCCAAGATTTGGCGGTACATGGCCCTGTCCATCGTCCCTTTGATGCGGTGAAGTTGTCCTGTCCCCTTAGCAGAAAAACACCCCCAAAGCATAATGTTTCCACCTCCATGTTTTTTGACGGTGGGGATGGTGTTCTTGGGGTCATAGGCAGCATTCCTCCTCCAAACACGGCGAGTTGAGTTGATGCCAAAGAGCTCCATATTGGTCTCATCTGACCACAACACTTTCACCCAGTTGTCCTCTGAATCATTCAGATGTTCATTGGCAAACTTCAGACGGGTATGTATATGTGCTTTCTTGAGCAGGGGGACCTTGCAGGCTCTGCAGGATTTCAGTCCTGCACGGCGTAGTGTGTTACCAATTGTTTTCTTGGTGACTATGGTCCCAGCTGCCTTGAGATCATTGACAAGATCCTCCCGTGTAGTTCTGGGCTGATTCATCACCGTTCTCATGATCATTGCAACTCCACGAGGTGAGATCTTGCATGGAGCCCCAGGCCGAGGGAGATTGACAGTTCTTTTGTGTTTCTTCCATTTGCAAATAATCGCACCAACTGTTGTCACCTTCTCACCAAGTTGCTTGGCAATGGTCTTGTAGCCCATTCCAGCCTTGTGTAGGTCTACAATCTTGTCCCTGACATCCTTGGAGAGCTCTTTGATCTTGGCCATGGTGGAGAGTTTGGAATCTGATTGATTGCTTCTGTGGACAGGTGTCTTTTATACAGGTAACGAGCCGAGGTTAGGAGCACACTCTTAAAGGGAGTGCTCCTAATCTCAACTTGTTACCTGTATAAAAGACACCTGTCCACAGAAGCAATCAATCAGCACTCTTAAAGGGAGTGCTCCTAATCTCAACTTGTTACCTGTATAAAAGACACCTGGGAGCCAGAAATCTTTCTGATTGAGAGGGGGTCAAATACTTATTTCCCTCATTAAAATGCAAATCAATTGATAACATTTTTGACATGCGTTTTTCTGGATTTTCTTGTTATTCTCTCACTGTTTAAATAAACCTACCATTAAAATTATAGACTGATCATTTCTTTGTCAGTGGGCAAACGTACAAAATCAGCAGGGGATCAAATACTTGTTCCCTCACTGTAGGCAGTGACTGGTTGGGTATGCATGGAGATCGCGGCTGGGCTAGCGAGTGGATGGTCGGCAAGGGATAGATTGTTCGGCTCCTCTTTCCCATTGTTTGGAACTCCCCGGATCTTCACTCAGACACGAGGGTCTCTCTCCGGAACCATCCGGGCCACGGGGACTTTCATCACCACCACACGGTACCCTGGGGTGTTACTGGAGACTCCTGGGGGGGGGGGAGGACCGGGACCTGCTCAGTCCACAACAGCAGCCGCCTCAAGAGCGCGACGCCGGCACCCAATACCGCGAAGAGGCGCCGGTGGTGGTGGTGGGGGGGGTGTTCGCCCGCGTCATTTGTTCCACACCGCGATCGCGGCTGCTGCTGTTGTTGTTGTCGGAGCCGCAGCTGGGCCGCGTCGCCACCGTTTATGGTTCCCGTCCCGGAGCTGCGACTGTCGCTGTCGTCAAGCGACCGAAGGCGCCTCCGCCCCCTCAACCCCACAACCGCCGCTCGGGTGAGAGCGCCTCCTGGCGGCCCCGAGAGCTCCGCGCACCGCAGAACGGCGAGGAGTTTGTGGGTGGCGAGGGGGGGGGGGTTCGGTGGAGAGTGGCGAAAGGTGCAGAGAGGTGTGACGTGTCTGAACGGTGAGGCGAATGTGGAGAGTGTGGTCAGAGGTGAGGAATGTGCATGGTGAGGAGAGGGGGGACGATTAAGAGTTTGGTACATCGGGGGTGGCGAGACGTTTGGGTAGCAAGAGGCGTGGGAGGCGAGGGGACGGTGTGTGTGTGTGGCGTGTCGTGTGGGTGGTGAGGTGTTTGGATGGTGCATCTGCCGGTATCGGTCAGCCAACCCCAAGGCACCTGGGTTTGTTGGCGAGCCTTCGACATTTCACGTGGCATCAAAAGGTGCACCCAAGCCTGGGCACAGGCGCCGTGAAATCACCATCAAGGAGTGGCGAATGGCGGATATTGGACGGCGAGGACAGTGGCGAGGGGCCTGGGTGGCGAGCAGTGCCGAGGGAGTGTGGGTGACAACGGGGGGTGTGTGGGTGGCGAGGGTCGTGAATGGTTAAGCGTTTTGCAAGCGGGGGTGTTGCGATGCGGGAGGCCAAGGTGTGTGTGTGGGGTGGGGCGAGGCGTTTCGATGAAAGGTCGTGGCGAGCCAAGGAAAGGAGTTGGTGAGAATTCCAGGTGGCAAGCAATTTGAGTGGTGAGCATGGAAGCGAAGGAATGGCTCTGGTGCCCCTTGCTGCAGACACGACTCCAAGCACTGCCCCTCACACACAACACCACATGACTTATCTGCACATTTATTAATTATACATTTTTAACAGTTGGCACTAACCCTACAGTGGAAGAAGCCCGAACACTAAGATACGTTCTACAATGTCAGGACACACAGCACTAATTTACAACGGAGAAGCGTAATATTGATCAATCACAATACACTTCCTCGTCACGAGTGGTCCCAAAGGTTATTGTGTTATACACATTTCTCTTCGACTCAAGGCAGAAATGTGGAGGGAAAGTTACGGCGAGCGAGCACAGGGAGGCGGCAAAGGGCAGACGAGGGGCAACCCAATGTCACACGGGAGGGCAGCTTTCCCTCCAGCGCGGGACACGCGAGATAACGAGCGACATGAACAGCTCAACGACAAACAGGCGTGAACGACGACACGCACGGCAAACAAAGCAGTGAGGAAAGGGGAGGGGGGGGGGGGAACAACGCGTTCGGACGTTCAAGTAACAGCGACGTGTGTGGGGCCACCCTAGCGGAAGAACACAACAAACCATCAAGGGGGCCACAGCACCGCCAGCGCTACCCACAGCGAGGGGGCTGTGGGGTCACAGCGGCAGGTGGGGGGGGGGCAGATTCCCGTCCGGCGCGACGGCTACACGTTGGTTCATCATGACTGGCGGGCGACGGAGGGGACGGGAGAGACTCGGGGTCGCCGAGAATCCGTGCTTGCTCGCTTCGTGCCGGCCTCCGACACTTCCACTTCCTCCCGAGTTGCGGTGGCCCAGGCACCAGCAGCGAGTCGCACAGTAGAGTCCGTAAATAGAGTGGGGCGCACGGGACGGGTGGCGATGGCGGCGGCAGGAGCAGCTGTTAGTTCTTTGGTAGCGGCCGCCTGAAGAGCAGAATGTGTGGCTCTGCGGGGAGACGCAGGCACTGGGTCAACACCACAGCGAGTAGTCAACCGCGCAGGAGAGTCAACCTTGATCTACCTTCCACCCAGCAGCCAACCTAAAACAAATCGCCATGAATAAACTTACGCGCAAGCCTTGCACCCAGACGTCGCACCCAGCAGTCAGCTTCACAGCCAGCAGTCAGCCACACACATAGTTCACGTCTACCACCCACTTAGTAGCTGACTCTCCATCCAGCGAAGACATGTATTCACAACCCCTACCCATGCAACAGTCAACCTTACAGTTCCCTTCAGCAGTCACCCTCTCAACCTCACCATCACCACTCCCACTTACTTCACGCGCAGCGGTCCACCACACACACATCAATATTCCACACAGCAGTCAAATTCCCACCCATCATTGGCCAAGCTGCCCCTCGCTCAGTTCACCCCCCCCCCCCGCGGGTGCCTCTACCTGGCTCGTGGATCATGTAGTGCATCCAGCCGTGGCTCTGTTGAACCCCCAGGCTGCGCCACTCCGCCTCGGACATGAGGTGCGTCTTGGGAACCATTCTCGCGATCTCCTTGGGCAGCATCACGTGCCTGCGAGGGGGCCAGTGGCAGCGTTAAACGTCACGGATAAGGGCGCCCCCCCCACCCCCCACACAAACTGTGCGCGCGCCCACACGCAACTCGAGCGCCATCACAACCCCCTTTCATTTTAACCCCCCTCGATAACTCCAGCCTCACTCAGGGTTGCCACCTCTACTCCACAAGTCCCTCGGTACAGTGCGACTGGGGGGGCCCTAGAGACAGTGCGACTGGGGGTCCCTCGGGACGGTGCGACTGGGGGTCCCTCGGGACGGTGCGACTGGGGGTCCCTCGGGACGGTGTGACTGGGGGTCCCTCGGTACAGTGCGACTGGGGGTCCCTCGGTACAGTGCGACTGGGGGTCCCTCGGTACAGTGCGACTGGGGGTCCCCCGGTACAGTGCGACTGGGGGTCCCTCGGTACAGTGCGACTGGGGGTCCCTCGGTACAGTGCGACTGGGGGTCCCTCGGTACAGTGCGACTGGGGGTCCCTCGGTACAGTGCGACTGGGGGTCCCTCTGTACAGTGCGGCTGGGGGTCCCTCTGTACAGTGCGGCTGGGGGTCCCTCTGTACAGTGCGACTGGGGGTCCCTCTGTACAGTGCGACTGGGGGTGCCTCGGTACAGTGCGACTGGGGGTGCCTCGGTACAGTGCGACTGGGGGGTGCCTCGGTACAGTGCGACTGGGGGTCCCTCGGTACAGTGCGACTGGGGGTCCCTCGGTACAGTGCGACTGGGGGTCCCTCGGTACAGTGCGACTGGGGGTCCCCTCGGTACAGTGCGACTGGGGGTCCCCTCGGTACAGTGCGACTGGGGTCCCCTCGGTACAGTGCGACTGGGGGTCCCTCGGTACAGTGCGACTGGGGGTCCCTCGGTACAGTGCGACTGGGGGTCCCTCGGTACAGTGCGACTGGGGGTCCCTCGGTAGTGCGACTGGGGGTCCCTCGGTACAGTGCGACTGGGGGTCCCTCGGTACAGCGCGACTGGGGGTCCCTCGGTACAGCGCGACTGGGGGTCCCTCGGTACAGCGCGACTGGGGGTCCCTCGGTACAGCGCGACTGGGGGTCCCTCGGTACAGCGCGACTGGGGGTCCCTCGGTACAGCGCGACTGGGGGTCCCTCGGTACAGCGCGACTGGGGGTCCCTCGGTACAGCGCGACTGGGGGTCCCTCGGTACAGCGCGACTGGGGGTCCCTCGGTACAGCGCGACTGGGGGTCCCTCGGTACAGCGCGACTGGGGGTCCCTCGGTACAGCGCGACTGGGGGTCCCTCGGTACAGCGCGACTGGGGGTCCCTCGGTACAGCGCGACTGGGGGTCCCTCGGTACAGCGCGACTGGGGGTCCCTCGGTACAGCGCGACTGGGGGTCCCTCGGTACAGCGCGACTGGGGGTCCCTCGGTACAGTGCGACGGGGTCCCTCGGTACAGTGCGACTGGGGGTCCCTCGGTGCAGTGCGACTGGGGGTCCCTCGGTGCAGTGCGACTGGGGGTCCCTCGGTACAGTGCGACTGGGGGTCCCTCGGTACAGTGCGACTGGGGGTCCATCGGTACAGTGCGACTGGGGGTCCATCGGTACAGTGCGACTGGGGGTCCATCGGTACAGTGCGACTGGGGGTCCCTCGGTACAGTGCGACTGGGGGTCCCTCGGTACAGTGCGACTGGGGGTCCCTCGGTACAGTGCGACTGGGGGTTCCTCGGTACAGTGCGACTGGGGGTCCATCGGTACAGTGCAACTGGGGGTCCATCGGTACAGTGCAACTGGGGGTCCATCGGTACAGTGCAACTGGGGGTCCATCGGTACAGTGCAACTGGGGGGCCCTCGGTACAGTGCAACTGGGGGGCCCTCGGTACAGTGCAACTGGGGGGCCCTCGGTACAGTGCAAACTGGGGGGCCCTCGGTACAGTGCAAACTGGGGGGCCCTCGGTACAGTGCAAACTGGGGTGCTTCGGCGGAGTGATACTTTTGGAATCCCTCAATAGAGTACAATACTCTTTGGTTCTTTCGGTAAAGTCACGTAGGTATAAAATGAATCACGACGTTTCGGGCGCAACACAAGCGTCCATCATCAGGTGGTGGTGGTAAAGCATGATCTGCTGCTGAGGCAGACTGTTTTGAAAGGTTTGAAATGGGTGCAGCTCAAGGGTTATAACTTATAAAGAAGTGACCGGGGCTAGTGATGTTAATGTGAGAAGTCACGAAACCTTCAGATCAATACGGTACAATACTTTTGGAATCCCTCAATACAGTACAACTGGAGTTCCTCTAAACAATACATTATTGGTAGTGTCCTTCTGCTGTGCTACTGGAGGCACTATATATACACACACGACTGCCAGTCATTCTTTACATTATAACCAGTTATTCTATAGATTATTGCCAGCATCACTATACATTATTACTCTAGTTGCTTCCCCCATGGGGACTTGTTAAGTTACTTTGAGTGCTGCTAATGTGGTTGCTTTACCCGATCCTGGAGAGCTTATTTTAAAAAAAAATCGTGGTTACACAGCATGTACTGTATACCCGCAAGGCCAAACGGCCAGCAATACACAGCAACGGAGCTACCTTTGGCAGACACCGCAGAACTCTTAAACGTCACTTACGGTGTCACCCTCAACATCAGAAACTGGAGTTTAATGCGAGATTGTTTTTTTTATATTCTCCCACAAACTTTTTTAAACGACCGACGCCGGCTTAGGCCCCGAAGCCTCGCCTCGCCTAGGCGGCCCCAGGGAGGAGGCGGACCACGTCGAACTCCGCGCGTGCCGCTGCAGCCCCCCTTCCCCCGCCGACTTTGCCCGGCGCGAGCAAAGCCTCTCCCCACCACAGCCCCCCATCTCTCACCGGTACTCGAAATGCTCGTCCGTGTACTTGTCCGAGTAGTAGATCTGCTTGTGCGCCATGGCTGCGCGCTCACGACACCAACCGCCGCCTGCTATTTGAATCTCGCAGAGACGCGCGCTGATTGGGTCCACCGCGGCGGGTCACGTGGCTTCCCGAGCCGGCCGTTCATTGGCTGAAGGAGGGTGAACGGTGAAAAACTCCCACCTCCCCCCCCCCGTTTCCCCCCTTCACCCCCCCCCCCCCGTTTCCCCTCCACCCGATGTTCCCCCCCACCCCTTCGTTCCCCCCCACCCCTCCGTTCTCCCCCCGCACCCCTCCGTTCCCCCCCGCACCCCTCCGTTCCCCCCCACCCCTCCGTTCCCCCCCCCCACCCCTCCGTTTCCCCCATAGGCTGAAACTTTGAAGCGGTGGACATGACGTCAGGCAAGAGACCGAACCGGACGTTGCTGGCGTGAACACTTATGACGTCACGGCGCTTGGGTTCCTTTGAGGTGACGTGACGTCACCGAGTGACGTGAGCTCGGCGAGGAGGGAGCGAGCGGGCGGCCATCTTGTTGAGTTCACCGCGCTCGCAGTGGGCACCTGGCACAGTCTCTCCTGGCTCTATCCCCTCGCTCCCCTCACACTCTCCTGGCTCTATCCCCTCGCTCCCCTCACACTCTGCTGGCTCTATCCCCTCGCTCCCCTCACACTCTCCTGGCTCTATCCCCTCGCTCCCCTCACACTCTCCTGGCTCTATCCCCTCGCTCCCCTCACACTCTCCTGGCTCTATCCCCTCGCTCCCCTCACACTCTGCTGGCTCTATCCCCTCGCTCCCCTCACACTCTCCTGGCTCTATCCCCTCGCTCCCCTCACGCTCCCCTCGTTGTCCTCCCTCTCGTGGGACCGGGCGGTACAATGGTCGTGTGCTGCGCGTCTGGCTGCACGAACCGCACGGGGAAGCCGCCGGGAGTCACCTTCCACAGGTGACAAGGGGCGCGGATCCACACCACCGGGGGGGGTGCCAGTGGGGGAGGGGGGTGCGGGGGAGGGGGGGGGTGCGAGGGAGGGGGGGGTGCGAGGGAGGGGGGGTGCGGGAGGGGGGGTTGCGAGGGAGGGGGGGTGCGAGGGGGGGTGCGAGGGGGGGGGTGCGAGGGGGCTGAGCACCGCGCTGCTGATGAGACGCCGGGACGTGGAAACCGCGCCAGTCTTGGCCTGCCCGTGTTGAACCACTGCTCCCCAAACAAAGACACCGACCCCCCCCCACACCCCGTAGAGCTTTTTCAGACTTTAGGGGCAAATGCAGCACCTATGAAAGGTCGTCACGGCATGCGAGGTGGTTGAGTGACCAGCAATCACGCCCGACCGCCTTTGCCTTCCCCGGTGGCGATGTGTTTTTTTGTCCACACACCGCACCGGGTAATAATTTGAGGCCGAGTCGACCTAGGGGAGGCACAGAAGCGGTTCAGGCATTACAGTACGTGACTTGCGTTGGCCGTGAGCGGCACCACCAATCCCTCTCCTCTCGCTACGGGGGGCTGCATGTCGCTATTGGTCACTTTTCAATCACATTTAATCAATCACAATCACTAATGGTCACCGTTACATATTCTTAGTTTTTTCGGTAAAGTCACGTTGAAGGGAAACAACAAAATAATAAAATATATATAAAACATTCTCACGACGTTTCGACCATAACTCAAACGGTCGTCTTCAGGTGTGTTGGTTTGCATAAATTATGCATAACGTCGTGATAATTTTTTATTGTTTTATATATATTTTATTATTTTGTTGTTTCCCTTCAACGTGACTTTACCGAAAAAACTAAGAATATGAATTACTGCAGTCACGAAAGCTTTAAATCAAAATTTGGTCACCGTTACGTTGTTTTTTTATTGCATGATTTTAGTGATTTCTAAAAAGGTTTAGTTTAGCCATATTTGTATGTTGCAGTTTAGAGTTATACTTAGAATTTTAATCTAGATTGTATCGTGATCGTGGATTTTTGCACGTTTTTTTTGTACGCAGCATATAAACATACGGTGCTTTTTCTGGAAGATTTATTTGTTTTTTTTTACAGAGGATGTTCAAATTTGCGGTTGCACTCGAATCAAGAGCCGAACGGCTCACAGGGTAAAACCAAATAAATGTAAATGAACTGAAAACTTAAATTGCGTGCCCAACTTTACTTACTTAAAGTGGATCCTCCCCTCCCCCTCCCCTTAGATGTTGGGGTAAGAAGTTGAATAAACATATTTACAATTGACGATCCTATGCCTATGCAAGGGATGTCAGGGGAAGGATTCCCACTAAAAGGAGGGGGACAGTAGAAGGGGGAGAAGCAGGCGAGGAGATGGAAGAGGAAGAACTGGAGGGAAACGGAGAGAAGGCTGGAGACGACATACAATAGTCAATAGTATCTACTGACTATATGCCTACACACCCTACGTTACATAGTAGCATCTATACTACCCTTTGGTTCTTTCGGGAAAGTCAAGTAGGTATGAAATAAATTAAATCACGACGTTTCGATCGCAACACAAGCAATCATCATCAGGTGCGAAAACCACAGCAAGAACATTTTTTTTGTGCTTAAGTGGGACAGATGCCGTGGTAAGAGGTTATATAAGAGAGGGGGAGGGGCTAGATAGGGGGGAGGGGCTAGAGAGGGGGGAGGGGCAAGGGAGGGGGGTAGGGGCAAGAGAGGGGGTAGGGGAGCGTTGCGTGGACGCGAGGAGTGGGGGACGTGAAGCTGGAAGTGGGCGGGGCCGGAAGTGGGCGGGGCCGGAAGTGGGAGGCTAAGAGAGCTGGGGATGCGTGGGGGGGGATGGAACAACGCCAATGAAGCCAACAATGATGGAACATCATATCTGCCAAGTTAATTAGATCCCCAGCGTTTGGCATTGCTCAATTTCTCAGTCCCAAGTCAGTCCCCAAATCTAAACTGGGGGCGCGTGCCTCTTGCTGTGCACGTGGCGGCTCTGGGTCCAATCCCTGATCACGCCATTGCGTTCACTTGAATAATAATAATAATAAAAGAGCCACACCTGGCTACCCGAAGCAACCTGCGGAGTGCACAATGACACGTGTGGTTGATCGACCCCCCCCTCGTCGTGAGCGATGAGCTAAACACCGTGCGGCTTTGGCTCCGCGGTCATTGAAGGGGGGAAGGGGGGCGCAAAGTGGATGACGAACAGCGCGGGGTTCCTTCGTGTACCACAGGCTGCCCAAAGACAAGGACATGCGGATGAGGTGGATCGCCGCCATTCACAGGGAGCGGTGGCAGCCGACGCACAGTACCTCCATCTGCTCGGCTCACTTCGTCGAGGGTGACTTCGACAGGACGTCGCTCGTCTACGTGCGCATCCGCCCCGGCGCCGTCCCTTCCATCTTCCCGCTCGCCTCTCCTCGCCCGCGCAAGGTACACTCACATACCACGCCCTTCACGCGTTGCTCGCAAACTTTTGCTGTTCGCTTTACTGGCTGTCGGCGAACTGCTTCTGCTGCGGCTGCTTCTGCTGCGGCTGCTTCTGCTGCTTCTGCTGCGGCAGCTTCTGCTGCGGCTGCTTCTGCTGCGGCTGCATCTGCTGCTGCGGCAGCATCGAGAGGGAACGAGAGAAATAATGCGATGCGGGAAAGCGACGAGAGAGAATGTGATGAGATGATTTCCACGTATTTAATAGCTTATTTACGTATTTATTTAAGGTAACTAATTAAAAGGTAGGTTTTTGTAGGCCAATATTACCCGCAAAATGTACTTTTCGCGAGCATCTCTGGAACATCCCTTGCGAATAACGAGGGAAGACAGCATTCACTCCATTCACTCCCGCTGGGTAGAAAACCCACACATCGTAATTTCAATCGCCACGCAACAGATGGCGGTGGTGGCATCTAATCTACAGAACGTGAAGAACCAGTGGCATCTACATCTACAGAACGTGAAGAACCAGTGGCATCTACATCTGCAGAACGTGAAGAATCAGTGGCATCTACATCTGCAGAACGTGAAGAACCAGTGGCATCTACATCTGCAGAACGTGAAGAACCAGTGGCATCTACATCTGCAGAACGTGAAGAACCAGTGGCATCTACATCTGCAGAACGTGAAGAACCAGTGGCATCTACATCTGCAGAACGTGAAGAACCAGTGACATCTACATCTGTAGAACGTGAAGAACCAGTGGCATCTACATCTGCAGAACGTGAAGAACCAGTGGCATCTACATCTGCAGAACGTGAAGAACCAGTGGCATCTACAGAACATGAAGAACCAGTGGCATCTACATCTGCAGAACATGAAGAACCAGTGGCATCTACATCTGCAAAATGTGAAGAACCAGTGGCATCTACATCTACAGAACGTGAAGAATCAGTGGCATCTACATCTACAGAACGTGAAGAACCAGTGGCATCTACAGAACATGAAGAACTAGTGGCATTTACATCTGTAGAACATGAAGAACCAGTGGCATCTACATCTGCAGAATGTGAAGAACCAGTGGCATCTACATCTACAGAACGTGAAGAATCAGTGGCATCTACATCTGCAGAATGTGAAGAACCAGTGGCATCTACATCTGTAGAACGTGACGAATCAGTGGCATCTACATCTGCAGAACATGAAGAACCAGTGGTATCTACATCTGCAGAACGTGAAGAACCAGTGGCATCTACATCTACAGAACGTGACGAATCAGTGGCATCTACATCTGCAGAACGTGAAGAACCAGTGGTATCTACATCTGCAGAACGTGAAGAACCAGTGGCATCTACAGAACATGAAGAACCAGTGGCATCTACATCTGCAGAACATGAAGAACCAGTGGCATCTACATCTACAGAACGTGAAGAATCAGTGGCATCTACATCTGCAGAATGTGAAGAACCAGTGACATCTACATCTGTAGAACGTGACGAATCAGTGGCATCTACATCTGCAGAACGTGAAGAACCAGTGGCATCTACATCTACAGAACGTGAAGAATCAGTGGCATCTACATCTGCAAAATGTGAAGAACCAGTGGCATCTACATTTGCAGAACGTGAAGAACCAGTGGCATCTACATCTGCAGAACGTGAAGAACCAGTGGCATCTACAGGAGATTATACAACCTTTAGAGACATTCCCCGTGTTTAGTGTACATGCCGTACAACACGTTTGGAATCGACAGGAGTAAAGTTGGACTTACGAACAGACCTATGGAATCTAACTCGTTCGTAAATAGAGGGGTCCCTGTACATGCATACATAGTAGTTATAAGTTATTCATTATACGACGTTTAAATATACGAAGTTCCAGGAACCCATATACTTGGCATATCGAGGTATCTATATATATAAAAGGGAAATTAGTGAATGTGTGTCTGTTCAAAATGTTTAGCGTACTTCCCGACATGCAACAAATTTGCCATGTGGGTACTTTCCAGACTGTACACCATGCAAAAATTATAAAACTAGACTTTTGTATTTTTTTGGGGGGGGGCCACAATGATGCATATATTTTGCACGGCAAGTGAGCTGTGACGTCACACCTGTCATGTGACCCGCGTGCGGAAGCGTAACGGAGTGTGCCTGCTGATCGCGGGTAAAGTGAAATACAAATGTGTTGCAGGTCTAAGGCGTTCTTCGCGCAGCATTGCTTTATTATTTCAGTCGTTTACTGCCGTACGCACCATGAAAGTTGCGTCTGCAGCAAGCGCGTGTATGTGTACCTATGGACGCGTGCGTTTGTGTGTGGGGGGAGCGGTAGTGTAGTGGTTAGCGCGCTGCGCTACGAACCTGGCGACCCGAGTTCGGTTCCCGCTCACGGCCAACACCGGTGACGATTATTTGAACCGGTCCTGGACCTCCCCTAGGTCGACTCAGCCTCAAACGAGTAACTGGTGTGTGAACATCGCCACTGGGGAGACAAAGGCGGCCGGGCGTGGTGAATCTAAGTCCCGGGCGAAGCCGGGTAGTAAAGCTAGTTAATGTATATATTTTGACTTAAGGCCACACTCACGCTGTTAATTCTGGTTTTGGATCTGTGGTCATATGACCCAGACCTCCAAAACCAGTTATTTTGCAGAAATTAAATGTGATTGAGACACGATATTTGATTTGTTGGAGGACTTGACATCATTCCAAGCCCCGCTAAGTGATCTTAGCGGGGCTTGTGCACGACACATCCTGATGAGTCGTGGCCAAGGACTAATACCGAGGCGGCTGCCAAGGAACTAAATGCACCCGAAAGGACGTCCGCTGAGGAGGAGACAGAGCGATGATGAAAGCAGCTCGTGTACAGGTGGCTGGGTGGATCGTTGGAATGCGAAAGAGGCGGCGGTGGCTTGAGGGAGGCCTTCATCCAGCAGTGGATTGACCCTGGACGATTATGAAGGATTTACTGAAAGTCTTCTGAAACAGTCAGACTACAAGTGCCACAATTGTTGTGCGTTTTGGATTACGGACGGGTACGCTCGCTCGAGTAACGCGTTCCCCCCCCCCTCGCCCCGTGACGACGAACGCTCATCTGACATCCCCGTTTGTTCGTCGCCACCCCCCCCCCCCCCCCACGTTTCCTTCGCAGGCCGGCAGGAAGCGGAAGTCATCATCGTCGTCGCCTTCGGCTGCGCCGCCCGTCGGCTCGGCAGGGCACGGCCGCGGCCCGGGCCCTCCACACGCGACACAGCTCAAGTCGGACCACTTGTACTGCAGGGCAAATTCCGAGGGGGGCCCGGCGGCGGTGGCAGCGGCAGCGGCACCGGCCGCAAACTCTGACGCGCTGTGCACCTCAGCCCTGAAGCGCAGCCTGCAGGCCGTGATCGACACCGAGAAGCGGAAACTGGTCTGCCGGAAGAGGCGCCTGATCGTGCGGCAGAACGCCAAGCTGGAGGGCATCTTTGCCGACCTGAGAAAGAAGCGCCTGGTGGGCGAGGAGAGCCTGCAGGTGCTCCAGAGCTCGCTGAGTCGGCCTAACTCGCAGCTTCTCAAACGGCCGCGGGCAAAGTCGGCCGAGTTGCGGACATTTGCCCTGACGCTGCACCTCTATTCGCCGAAGGCTTACGCCTACGTCAGGAACACGTTCAGCACGTGCCTGCCCCATCCGCAGATCGTCTCCCGGTGGGGCCAAGCGGCCGCCGGGGGAGCCGGATTCACGCGGGAAGCGCTGGACGCGTTGGAGAGGATGAGCGCGGAGGCGAGAGCGGCGGGCAGGACTCCGCTCTGCGCCCTGGTGGCGGACGAAATGCCACTCCGACCGCACGTGGAGTGGGACAGGCGGCGTTACCACGGGCGCGTCGACCTGGGCACCGGCCTCGACGCAGACAGTTTGCCCGCGGCCAGGGCAGCCCTGACGTTCATGCTGGTCGCCATCAACGCCTCCTGGAAACTGCCCGTCGGCTACTTTCTTATCGACGGCCTCTCCGGCTCGGAGCGGGCCAATCTGGTGAGGCGGTGCCTGTCGGCGGTCCACGACGCCGGCGCGCAGGTCGTCTCGCTGACCTTCGACGGTGCTGCCGCCAACCTGTCGATGGCGAGGGCCCTCGGCTGCTGCCTGGAGCCGAGCGAGCAGCTCAAGACTCACTTCGAGCACCCCGTCACCGGCGAGCCCGTCTTCCTCTTCCTCGACCCCTGCCATATGCTGACGCTGGTTCGCGACGCCCTGCGGGAAAAGAGGTCCGTGGCGGACGGCAGCGACGGCCTCGTTCTGTGGGACCACGTGGAGCGATTGGGTCGGCTGCGGCCACGCGATGTTCGTTCCCTGCGACAGAGGCTGAGCGCCGCCCAGCTCGCCTGGTTCGCAGGGGAGGCGGAGGCGAGGCCGGCCGAGCGGCTCGTGAGCGCCTCTCTCGCCGACGCGATGGACGTCTGTTCGGAGATGGAAGTTCCCGGCTTTGAGAATTCCCGACCGACCGCGACGTTCGTAAGGCACATGAGCCGGCTGTGCGACGTCCTCGACTCGCGCAACGTGCTGTGCAAGGAGGGTTGGAAGAAACCCGTGTCGTTCGAGAACCTCGGTGAGGTTCGGGAATTTGCCACGGACGTTCAGGACTACATCCGGACGCTGAAGGACTCCGAACGCGGGGACCGGCTCGTCCTCTCCCGGCGCAAAACTGGATTCATCGGCTTCCTCGTCTGCTGCCGGAGCGTCGTGGCTCTGTACGACCATGCGTTTTCCAAACACAAACTCCGGTGCCTTTGCACCTACAGGGTCAGCTGGGACCACCTAGGAATGTTTTTCGATGCCGTGCGGTCTCAGAGCGGCGGCGGCGGCGACAAGGACCCGACGGCTCGGCAGTTCGCGTCCGCGTACAAACGCGCTCTCGCCGCGCACGGTGGGACGGGAGAAGGGGCGTCCGCGGGAACCGGTGCAGCGGCGCCGGACTCGGCCTCCGCCCTTCGGGCGTCATCCTGCGGCGGCCTCCGAGCCGTGCAGCTCATCAACACGAGCGCCGAGAGGGCTCGAGCGGTCGGCCAGGACTCGCTGGGTTTCGACCCGTCGCCTCCGCGGTCGCCGTCGGCGAATTGCGGCTTCTCGCGTCTCCCGGTTCCAGCCGACGACCCCGAATGGTCCGACCGCGCGGTGGCGTGCGTGGCGAGGTTCGTGACGCGGAGGCTGAGGGCCGCGCTGACATGCGAGCGCTGCGCAGGGGCGCTGTGCGGCGCGGCGCAACGGAGGTGCTGCCCGCTGCCGCCGCCCCCCAGCGACGACGTCGTCCGCATTTGCCGGCTGAGCGAGCGGCTGTTCCGCGAGGATCGGCGTCTGAGCAACGTTGCCGCTGCGCCGAGGCGCGGGCTACGCGCCCTCGCGGCGGCCGTGCTGGATTCGTACCGCGGGAGGGACTTCTTTGCGGCTCACTCGAGTCACATGTTCGAGCAGGAGCCGCCCGGCAACCACCTGGTGCTCCTGGTGCAGGCGGTGGCGTGGTCGTACCTCGCCGTCCGGTTTCGGCAGGAGAGGGCAGAGAGGAAACGCGCGGAGACCCCCGCCCCCGCGTTCGGCCTCTACGCAAAGTGCGCCCTTGTCTGGTGACCGACGCCAGGGTTGGTTGGCTTTGGGAATGAACTCCCAAGTGATTAAAACGTTCTTACAAGCGCATTTGTATTTGTACTGCAGTTTTTTTTACGTCGATAAAAGCGTTTGAGGGTAAGTCGGGTTGTGGTGATGACCAACCGGGAACTATCCGTGTTGGCAGTTGTTTCACTGCGCTTCACGCTGGTTTCTGTCGCTGCGGTGGCCACGCTGTCAGGCAGAGCCCCTGCAGTCTGCAGCACTGACCTCCTGGAATCACAGGACCTAATGGCAGACCACCCCAGTTAATACTGCGGTGAGGATTGACCATAAGTATACTTCAAGAGTGGATGTTAAATATCCCATGTCAATCGAAGGAAGAGTAGGCCTCTTTTGTGCCGGCGTCACACAAGGGCCGTCTGGAACGGTCTTCCGATATTACGGAAGCCACTGGAGCTGCGCACTTTCAAATATAGATGGGAAACTAACATAGCCAACCGATTAGCACGGTTGGCTATGTACGGTGCGAAAGAAGTTTAACATATGTACAGACAACACACTCGCTAAATCACTCATTCATCCACCCTCTCACTCACCACACTGCAGGTCACCTCACTTCCCTCCCATCGTGTCTCTCCAACTCTCGTACAATAACTTCGCTCAGTCAAAATTCAACATTACATGCCGGCATCACGGTACACGCTTGAAAACTGCTGGATCCTGTCGGGCGTCCGTGGGTGGAAACGTGGCGGTGGAGAGGGCGTGAACAGTGTTGCTCGCCCAACGGTAAGGGGGCGGGGCGTATATGATATAGGCTTATAACGGGGGCGCTGCTGCCGCACGCACACGTGTTCGCTACATGGCTCTTGAAGAGGATGTCTCAAGCGGCGCCGAGGAGGAATCACGTGGTGAGGAGCTGGCACCAACAAATTATGCAAGCATAACACAGGATTTTTTTTGGGTGCGATCGTGTAAACCCGCCTCCACCCGACACAGCCTATTAGTAAGGTTTGTCACGTAAACAGAACATGCCAATTCGTTACTAGTAAGTACAGCAAAGCCACAACATTTACAATCTGAGCACGACGTTTCGCCAGTAATTACAACTGACGAAGTGTCGTACCCGGAGTGTAATGTTGTGGCTTTGCTCTCCAACACACCGGTGTGAATTGGCAACGTTCTGTTTACGTGACAACCCTTACTAGTTGGCTGTCGTGTGGTGGCGGGCTTGACACATTTACGCGATCTAACGAAAGCCTACGTGTCAAATTACGCAAGCGCTGTTATATTGAGGTGTTATCGACCATACAAAGTTTTATACGTGGGAGGAAACGGGAGCACATCTGGAGAAGACCCACATGCATGCGAGGGGGGAAATACTATCCCAATACAGCCGGCAGGTGTAGTCCACATTTTTACCGTATCGCCATTCGGCGAGCAATGGTACGGGCTCCTCAACGCCTACCATGACCCTTGCCTCCACAATGACATATTCCAGCCCACGTGCAGCATAGCAAAGATCATCTCTCCGCACATGAATACACGTGGTTTAGTCCATCAGCATATTGGCTTGGCTTTCTGGACCAACATGATCAAGCAGCACCAGTTCAAGCAAGGGTTTTCATCGGCAGCCGATTGGCTGGGGTGTAGCGGGTGAGCGATGCCGTCATCCCTAGCAACCACTGTAGTGCGTCCACCTTTGGCAATCTCGCCGGAACGTGGCACAGATACTGAGCCATGGCGAATCGCTGCCAGGGAGGAGGGGCACCCCTTGCTGAGGAGATGATTACGGTTGAGGGATTATCCCGGTGAAACGGGTTCTGCCATCCTTAAGAGATGCCACACGCAGGTTAGAGCCCAGGTCGGCAGGTCCCGAGGACGCAGCCCTGTTCACGGCCGAGGCGCCAACCTCTCTCGCGCAAAGCCGACGGGGGTTGCTCTCGGAAAGCCGGTCGGAGGAGGAGAAGACGTCACGCCGCACGCGTCATCACCGCACGCACGCGCGTCATCGCCGCAGCAGCTTGTGTGTTTTTTTTTATTTAAATGACACCGAGTACAGCTTCTGGGTAAAACACAATGCAACCTCGACCTCCTCGCGCCGCCTGTCTCATAACAATAATAATAATAATAAGGAATAAATATGATTATTAAATATACAAAAAAAAACATTTCTCATGTACACGCCGCAACTTTGGGTTAAATGTAGTGGAGGAGAACGCAGAGGGCAGGATGCATGCGCGCTCGCGCGAAGGGGGGACAGCAGGCACGGGGTGTGGGAGGGGGGTTAGAGAGACACACAGAGATGGGAGAGAGAGCGACGTGAAGAGGAAGAATGGGAGCGAGTGAACGATGGGGGAGAGGCGGGGGAGCCGTGCGGGGAGACGGGAAGAGAGTGGCGAGCAGGAGGGGAACTATTCGGAGAAATGGAGAGGGGCAACGATTCGGGAGAAATAGGGAGTCTGGAAGAGAGGTCGGAGAGACGGGGGGACACGGGGAGGGGAGAGTGGGCGGGCGAGCAGGAGGGAGGGCCTCCTATATACACGGACACACACACACACCGCCTCTGGGCGGCGCCACGGCCACCGCATAGGCGTTTGGTTTAAATCTGCCTTCGTTTTCCTATTTACAGTTCAATTTCAAATTTTTTGTGCAAAATATACTCTCTGTACAGTTTCACCGTCGCGCCCTGGGGACAGAAAAACAACGACGGACGCCCAAGTCTCAACACGCGCCCCCCCCCCGCTCCTCGCTCGCTCCACCAGGGCCCCCCCCGCTCGCTCGCTCCACTAGGGCCCCCCCCCCGCTCGCTCGCTCCACTAGGGCCCCCCCCCGCTCGCTCGCTCCACTAGGGGCCCCCCCGCTCGCTCGCTCCACTAGGGGCCCCCCCGCTCCTCGCTCGCTCGCTCCACCAGGGGCCCCCCCCCGCTCGCTCGCTCCACCAGGGGCCCCCCCGCTCGCTCCACCAGGGCCCCCCCCCCCCGCTCGCTCCACCAGGGGTCCCCCCGCTCCTCGCTCGCTCCACCAGGGCCCCCCCCCCCCCGCTCGCTCCACCAGGGGCCCCCCCGCTCGCTCCACCAGGGCCCCCCCCCCCGCTCGCTCCACCAGGGCCCCCCCCCCGGTCGCTCACTCGCTCCACCAGGGCCCCCCCAGTCGCTCGCTCCACCAGGGCCCCCCCCCGCTCGCTCCCCCAGGGGCCCCGCTCGCTCCACCAGGGGCCCCCCCCGCTCGCTCGCTCCACCAGGGGCCCCCCCCGCTCGCTCCACCAGGGGCCCCCCCCCCGCTCGCTTGCTCCACCAGGGCCCCCCCCCGCTCGCTTGCTCCACCAGGGCCCCCCCCCCGCTCGCTCCACCAGGGTCCCCCCTGCTCGCTCGCTCCACCAGGGCCCCCCCCCGCTCGCTTACTCCACCAGGGGCCCCCCGGCTCGCTCCACCTGGGCCCCCCCCCACCAGGGCCCCCCCCCGCCCGCTCACTCGCTCCACCAGGGGCCCCCTGGCCCGCTCGCTCCGCCAGGGACCTCCCCGGTCGCTCACTCCACCAGGGCCCCGGTCGCTCGCTCCAACAGGGCCCCGCTCGCTACAACCAGGGCCCCGCTCGCTCCACCGGGGCCCCGCTCGCTCCACCAGGGCCCCGCTCGCTCCACCGGGGCCCCGCTCGCTCCACCGGGGCCCCGCTCGCTCCACCAGGGCCCCGCTTACTCCACCGGGGTCCCGCTCGCTCGCTCCACCAGGGGCCCCCTGCTCGCTTTACCCAGGTGTGGGGCCCACACAATAATACACGACTTGCACGGCCACACCGAGCGACGTAAAGTGACTGAGTAGACTTCCCCTCCCCCCCGCGCGCGCCTCAGTCGTCCAGGGAGACCATGTCGTCCACACACAGCCCCAGGCCGGCCGCCACCGCCGCGCCGTTCGCCAGACCAAAGTGCTGCACACGGCGCTGATGCTGCTGGTGCTGCTGGTGCTGATGATGCTGCTGCTGGTGATGCTGCTGCTGGTGATGCTGCTGCTGCTGCTGGTGGTGGTGCTGGAGGTGCTGGTGTTGCCGCGCCGCATCGCTGGACAGGAGCGAGTCGCGCAGGCCGTTGCTGGCGAGGAGCAGCGAATCGTGGAGCCCGTTGTTGCCGCCGCCGCCGATGAGTGAATCGCGAAGCTCGCTGCTGGACAGCATCAGCGAATCGTGGAGCCCGTTGTTGCCGCCCCCGCCGCCGGAGCCCCGGCCGATCAGCGAATCCCGCAGTCCGTTGCTGGCCAGCATTAGCGAATCGCGGAGGCCGTTGCTGCCGCCGCCACTCCTGCTGCCGCCACTGCCACCGCCGCCCAAGGGATCCCGCAGCCCGTTGCTGTTGATGTTGGACATGGAGGGCTGCTGCTGCTGGCGGTGGTGGCGGTTGTGGTGGTGGTGGTGCAGGTCCCTCTGGGCGCTGCGGTGCGGTGACACGAGCCCCATGAGCCCCCCCGTGGTGCCGGCGGTTGCCGAGAGGGAGAGCGCGCCGGGGTTGGCGAGCGCGTCCGTGACGGTACCGGCGGCGGCGTACAGCCCCGTGGCGCCGGCGTACGGGTAGAAGTGGGCCGCGGCCGCAGCGGCGGCGGCGGCCGCCGCTGCGGTCGCCGCGGCCGTGGCGCTCAGCCCCGGCGACTGGCTCAGCGCCGGGCTGTCGGCGGCCCGTCCGGCCGCGCCGCCGCCGCCGCCGCAACCGGCGATGGCGCCCAAACCCAACCCCATGCCCAGCGAGGGGCTGTAGTGCTGCAGAGAGGCATGGCACAAGGCCTGGGCGTCAGGACCACCAGCCGCACCACCAGCAGCACCACCACAGCAACATGGAGAGGCGGTGGTGAGAGGGAGGGGAGGGAGGGGAGGGAGAATGAGTGAGCGAGCGAGTGAATGAGTGAGTAAGTGATTGTGGCTGTGAGAGCGTGCAAATGAGGGAGCAAATGAGTGAATCTAACTGAACGAGAGCAAATTCATGAGTTGATGGGTGTGCGAGCGAATAAAAGTGATTGTGAGTGACTGACAATAACGGGAGTGAATGAGAGTGAATAAGAGCGAATTATTGAGAGCGTATGAATGAGTAAATGGGCGGACAAGTGATTGTGACCAACTGAAACTTATTATGAATGACTGACTAAAGAGGAGTGGGATGAGCGAGTGAATGAGAGCGAGTGATCGACTGCCAGCGTGTGTACCCCACCTGGAAGTCGCTCTGTAAGAGCGAGAAGAGATCCAGGCCTGTTTCCACATCATCGCAAAAACACATAAACACAGACACCACACACACACACGTCACACACGTCACACACGTCACACACACAGCGAGCGCGTCAGCCTCTCCTGCACACCGCACGGCCGGCTCGCACAGTGCGCCGAGAGAGTTCCACAGCCGAGTGCTGCGAGTGAGTGTTACGGGTGAGTGTTGGGAGTGAGTGTTGTGAGTGAGTGTTACGGGTGAGTGTTGTGAGTGAGAGTTACCGGTGAGTGTTGTGAGCGAGTGTTACGGGTGAGTGTTACGGGTGAGTGTTGTGAGTGTTACGGGTGAGTGTTGTGAGTGAGTGTTACGGGTGAGTGTTGTGAGTGAGTGTTGTGAGTGAGAGTTACGGGTGAGTGTTGTGAGCGAGTGTTACGGGTGAGTGTTACGGGTGAGTGTTGTGAGTGTTACGGGTGAGTGTTGTGAGTGAGTGTTGCGGGTGAGTGTTGTGAGTGAGTGTTGCGGGTGAGTGTTGTGAGTGAGTGTTGCGGGTGAGTGTTATAGGTGAGTGTTACGGGTGAGTGTTACGGGTGAGTGTTGTGAGTGTTGCGGGTGAGTGTTGTGAGTGAGTGTTACGGGTGAGTGTTGTGAGTGAGTGTTGCGGGTGAGTGTTATGGGCGAGTGTTACGGGTGAGTGTTATGGGTGAGTGTTGTGAGTGAGTGTTACGGGTGAGTGTTATGGCTGAGTGTTACGGGTGCGTGTTGTGAGTTACGGGTGAGTGTTATAGGTGAGTATTGTGAGTGAGTGTTACGGGCGAGTGCTGTGAGTGAGTGTTACGGGTGAGCGTTGTGACTGTTGCTAGTGAGTGTTACGGGTGAGCGTTGTGACTGTTGCTAGTGAGTGTTACGGGTGAGTTACGGGTGAGTGTTGCGAGTGTTATGGGTGCGTGCTGCGAGTATTAGGGGTGAGTGTTGTGATTGAGTGTTACAGGTGAGTGCGTGTTACATGTGAGTGCGTGTTACAGGTGAGTGCGTGTTACAGGTGAGTGCGTGTTACAGGTGAGTGCGTGTTACAGGTGAGTGCGTGTTACAGGTGAGTGTTACAGGTTAATGAGTGTTACAGGTTAGTGAGTGTTACAGGTTAGTGAGTGTTACCTGAGCTCGGTGTCTCTGTGTCCGTGTGCATGCGTGGAGGGGGGGGCACGGGCTTGAGGAGGGGGGGCGGGGGGGGCGAGGAGTCGGTCAGCGCCTCCCTCTTGATCCGCGGGCGCCCAAAGTAGAGCGCTGCGCAGACAGAGACACGAGTGGGTAACACGACACACGTGATACACACAACGCACAGCGCTGCGCAGACAGAGACACGAGTGGTTAACACAACACACGTGATACACACAACGCACAGCGCTGCGCAGACAGAGACACGAGTGGTTAACACAACACACGTGATACACACAACGCACAGCGCTGCGCAGACAGAGACGAGTGGGCAACATGACACACGCGATACACACAGAGCGCTGCGCAGACAGAGACACGAGTGGGTAACATGACACACGCGATACAACGCACGGTAGAGACACGAGTGAGCAACATGACACACACGATACACACAGAGCGCTGCGCAGACAGAGACACGAGTGGGTAACATGACACACGCGATACAACGCACGGTAGAGACACGAGTGAGCAACATGACACACGTGATACACACAACGCACGGCAGTGTTGCCCACAGAGACACGAGTGGGTAACACGACACACGCGATACATGACACGCAAACACCATGTTCCCTGCACTAACACATGAAGGCCCGCTCACACAACAACAACAGACACACTCGGTTACACAAACACCGTGAGCCCGTGAGCGGTTGGCATACAGGCCCGGTGCCACAGCGTGGTAGAGGGGAGGGTAGTCGAGTGTGAGTGGGTGGGTAGGTAGGTGAGTGGGCGAGTGACTCACCCTGCAGGTCCGGTGCCACAGCGTGGTAGGGGGGAGGGGGTAGTTAAGTGTGAGTGGGTGGGTAGGTAGGTGAGTGGGTGAGTAGGTAGGTGAGTGGGCGAGTGACTCACCCTGCAGGTCCGGTGCCACAGCGTGGTAGGGGGTAGTCAAGTGTGAGTGGGTGGGTAGGTAGGTGAGTGGGCGAGTGACTCACCCTGCAGGTCCGGTGCCACAGCGTGGTAGGGGGGAGGGGGTAGTCGAGCGTGAGTGGGTGGGTAGGTGAGTGGGTGAGTGACTCACCCTGCAGGTCCGGTGGGACAGCGTGGTAGAGGGGAGGGTAGTCTTGCGGAGAGACACACAGGAAGCTGGAGTCGAGAGGAGCCGGACTGCGGCTGGAGCCCAGCGAATGAAGTGAGCTCAGCGCTCTGACCACACACATACAAGGAAAGATAAAGATATAAAATGTAGCCTCAACAGACTTGGGAACAAGTGCTGTTAGTGAGGCGCTATGGAGGCTGGCGTGGCAGATCTATTAGGTAGCGGTGTGGCCAGGACAACGCCCAGTCACATTTGTCTCCCTCGTGCTGATGTTTACACACCAAAGCAGGGGAGGGGCAGTAGTGGAGGGGAGGTAGTGGAGGGGCAGTAGTGGAGGGGAGGTAGTGGAGGGGAGGTAGTGGAGGGGTGGTAAGGGAAGGGTGGTAGTGGAGGGACGGTAGTGGTAAGGTGGTAGGGGAGGAGCGGTAGTGGAGGGGAGGTAGTGGAGGGGTGGTAAGGGAAGGGTGGTAGTGGATGGACAGTAGTGGTAAGGTGGTAGGGGAGGAGCGGCAGTGGAGGGGCGGTAGTGCATACCCGGCCTTGCTGGGTGCGGAGAGTCGTGGTCGTTTCGAGCGGCGCCCACCCTCTCGGCCGCCCCCCTCCTCATCCTCGTCTGAAGAGGGGTCAAGGGTCAGGTCGATGACCTCCGAACTGGCACCTGCGCCGTCTTCCGAGGCAGCGTCATCTCCCCCGGCGACCGTGGGCTTGTCGGCCTGGCCTGGGGGAGGCCAGCGGAGACAAACGCCGGTTACACGAGAGAAAGACTGCAACTCCCACCGTTGCTTGCCGAGCTGACCGAGTGAGCAATCCTCTCCGTGTGTACGTGAATGTGCGCGTGTGAATATGCGTGAAGTCTCCACGCAGGAGATCTCGGCGCGTGCGAGCGTGAGGAGCGGTAGTGTAGCGGTTAGCGGCGCTGCGCTACGAACCCGGCGACCCGGGTTCCATTCACGCTCACGGCCACCTACACCATTATCTGAACCTTGTCCTGGGCCTCCCCTAGGTCGACTCAGCCTCAAACGAGTACCTGGTGCGATTAATAAATATTCGCCACAAGGCGGCCGGGCGTGGTGCTGCCCACCCACCCCCCCCGTGCGCCGCTACTCGCAAACAGCACGTGCCCCGGTGGCCTGTGTGGGCTACACGGGGGAGGCGTGTGCGCTCACGCCACCTGCTCTGTCGGTGCGTGTGTGCGCACGTTCCTCGCGGCCGTGCGGAGCGGGGACCCAGGAGCCGTCGGGTCCAAACTCCACCTCCTCCACCTCGTCGCACTCCGACAGGATCCCCACAAACAGCCTGCATGGGACAAACGGGGACAAAGGGAGACACACAGACACACACGGAGACACACGGGGACACATTGGGAACAGATGGGGACAAAGAGACACACTGAGACCAGGCATGTGACACATGGCATGCAGCGTGGCAGTGCAGTGGTAACACTTGTACCTCACATCAAGAAGGACCTATGTTCGATTCCAGACTCAAGTGCCTTTGTGTGTGGAGTTTGTATGTGTTAGTTGGTGTCTGTGTGTGTGGCCTGGCGCCCTCGTGTGTGTGTGCGTACGTGTGTGTGTTGGTGGGGAGCGGTAGTGCAGCAGATAGCGCGATTCGCTCCGAGCCCGGCGACCCGAGTTTGAGTCCCGCTCAAGCCCAAACACCAGTCACAATTACCTGAACCAGTCTTGGGTCGACTCAACCTCAAATGAGTACTGTACCAGGTGCGGTGTGTAAACTTCGCCACTGGGGAGACAAAGACGGCCAGGTGTGGTTCTGGCCACCCACCCGCTCGTGTGCCGTGCCGGCCTTCAGAGGTGCTCGCTAACAGCACTTGCCCCAACAGTCTGTTAAGGCTATATGGGGGATCTTTGTTTTTTGTGTGTGTGTGTGTACGTGTGTGTACGTGTGTGTTTGGTGGCGATGCCGACCCGTCGATGAGCAGGCTGAGATAGGGCGCCGCCTTGTCGCACACGGGGCAGACCCACGTCGGCTTCTTCTCGTTCATGGCGATGAACAATGCGGCGTCGAAGCACTGCAGGTGCGAGCAGGAGCGCGCCCGGCACGGCACGCTCATCCGCATCTTCCCCAGCTGGGAGGGGGGGGGGGTGGGCGAGGTTGCCAATCCTTAACTCGCTCAGTCACTTATTCACTCACCTTTTCGGTCACTCATATACACTGTCATTCGCTCCTGCAGTCACTCATTGACTTATCCGCATCTTCCCCAACTGGAATGAACACACGCGAATTCATGATACGCTCAGTCCATCCCTCATTCATGCATTCGTACAATAATTCACTCAATCATTCATTCACACACCTAAATCACGTGCGGTAAGCTCCACCGCATATCGCCGGGCGAAAAGTCACGCGCGGACCCTCGATTCGTTTGCGTGTTAGCATCCTTCTCATCGTTCACTCTCACCGGACACAGCAGGGACACGCGTAGGCTCGTGGTGGCGATGTCGCTGTCAGGGTCCAATCGCAGCTTCTCCATGACTGCTCACGTGCGCGCGCGCACACACACACGCACAAACACGCGTAAACATGTACACGCGCACACTCGCACACGTAAACATGTACACGCGCACACACGCACACGTAAACATGTACACGCGCACACGTAAACATGTACACGCGCACACACGCACACGTAAACATGTACACGCGCACACACGCACACGTAAACATGTACACGCGCACACGTAAACATGTACACGCGCACACGTAAACATGTACACGCGCACACACGCACACGTAAACATGTACACGCGCGCACACACTTAGACGCGCACACACACACACGCACATTACCCCCCGACGCTAATGCACCCCGCACACCGCCACGCACGCTGCTGCCGCACCGCACTCACTGAGCGCACGCGACACGGCCGCCTCCTGGGTCCCCTTGCTCCTCAGTCGCTGCAGCAGCGCAGCCGAGGTCAGGTGACGCACCAGCGCCAGCGACACGGCGAAGCTCTGTGCGAGGGGTTACGCGGGTGGGGCGGCAAGCACCTCTGTTAGCACGGTTGGCTACGTACGGTGCCGAAGAAGTTCAACATCCATACACGCATGCATACATACATACATGCGTGGGTGGGTTGGGGGGGAAGGCTACGCGGGTGTGGGGGAAATGCGGGGGAGGGGGGGGGGTCAGGGTCATCGTGCTATACCGCACCGCTGCAGACGCACACGCTCAGCGTCAGTGGGAAGGCATTCGTAAAACCCTCGCCCCTGGGTCCCGACTCGATATTTGTCCAAAGCCAGAGCGGGATTTGCTGCTCGCGTGTGCACCGAGGCATCGGTGCTGCTCGTCGCCTGTTCACAGCAGCGCTGCAGAGCCAGTGGTGGAGATTCCACGTTCCTATGGCTTGGGGCGAGTGTATTTTATAGGACAGCCACCGTTACCTTCTCCCCCACGCTAAGTGATGCTCGTTGTATTTGACCCCGGAGGGAGGGATGATGATGAGTCCACTCCCCCCTGAAGCCGTGATCGAGCTCGGAAACTTCCGATCGCAAGCCACTCGCTCTGCCACCGCAGTAGCCACCTCAAGCGCCCCCCCACCCCACCCCATCGCCACCGCTCACCTTGCCGTAGTCGGAGGTCCATACGACGCTCACGTGGTTGTGCGTGGAGGTGGAGAGACGCACGTACGGGGTCACGTTGATTGGTCGACTCGGCCGCTTGGGCTCCGCCCCGTTCTTGCTGGGCGGCAGGTAACCCTGGTGACGGGGGCACGACGCCGCTCGTTAGCGAGGAGCAAAGGCGACCCGAGTGGCTACGGTGATCTGGGGTGCGAGCGTTGAGGGGTGTGATCGGGTGTAATGAACGCATGTGAGCGAGTGACCTTCCCTCTATCCGAAAAAAAGCCGCAATTCCGAGCCACCGCATGCCCAAGCGGCCTCTGTTTGGCCACATCGAGGGGGCTAAACGGGCACAACACAGGCGGGAGAAGAGATGGACTGATATGGAGCTGAGTGGACTTGCCGATGACCGGTACCAGCGGTGTCCAGATCGGCCTCTATGGAGGAGGCTCGTGAAGGACGCTACTGGGCAGTTTGAGGCAATCGCCCTCCAACAACAACGGAGGGTGGAGGAGCGACGCTCAAAGCAACGAGCAGAGCGCTGGGTGGTTAAAATACAGCAAGTTGCCAAAGGCGAGCATAGGTAATATACCTGCGTCTATCCCATGACCTCTTTTCAGCGATCCCCCCAAGTGACGGCCTTAAAGTGCACCTATCCTGGCAAAAGCATTGTGGTAACGTCACCGCCACTCAGCGGCTGTTGTTGTTGTGCAGAGTGAGACTGTGATGGGGCACAGCGGTGCGGAGTGAGTGTAGAGCAAGTGTAGAGTGAGTGTGGAGTGAGTGTGTAGTGAGTGTGGAGTGAGTGTGGAGTGTGCGTTGAGTGAGTGAGCAAGTGTGGAATGTGGAATAAGTACCGGCAGCATGCAGGGCTTCCCGTTGACCTTCACGCACAGGTTGGGAGGGAAGTTATCATCCTGGGCGGTGCCGGAATCAGCCAGGCAAAACCTGCGCCCACAGCCGACAAAAACGCACCGGGCCTCAGCGCAACGCGCACACAGATGCGGCCTCCGCCGCGCCACCGCGAGGACTTGGGGGGCATGACCGGTAGCGCTGCTGAAGCAGTGACCAACGGGGCCACGTGCGTTAGTCACGTGACATCTGGGCTGTGCCGGGTGGCGGTGGAGGTGGTGCACCACAAGAAATATTTTACTCGCGTGGAGGTCTGACCCGACAAACCAACTGTGCGTCGTAACACTGGTCACAAAAGCCGGCACCACGTGCGGAACTGCTGCGGTGTTGGCGCGATGGCCCCAGTCAGTGGCCGGGTCAGGCCCGACCGCTCACCTGAGCTGCAGCTGCACTGGGAAGTCGCTCTCGTCACCCGGGAAGTAGTCCCTGCGGCGCCGGACAGCGACAACGAGACGGCGATAGCACGTGGGCGTTACACGGCGGGCGACAGCACCGCACTCTCACACTCGCCCACTCACTCCCTCACTCACCAAAAGAAAGATCCCCTCCAGAGGTAGCCCACGCAGAGAGCAGACGGCACCATACTCAGACAAAGATCCCCAGTATAGCCTGAACCGACTTTTGGGGCAAGTGCTGTTAACGATCACCTATGAAGGCCGGCACGGCAAACGAGGGGGTGGGTGGCCAGCCACCACACCCGGCCGCCTTTGTCTCCCTCGTGGGAATGTTTTTACACATCGCACCGGGTACTCAATTGAGGCAGAGTCGACCTAGGGGAGGCCCAGGACCGGTTCAGATAATCGTCACCGGTGTTGGCCGTGAGCGGGGATCGAACTCGGTCGTCGGGTTCGTCGAGCAGCGTAGCGCGAACTGCTTCACCACCCCACCACCCCTCAGCACTCTCACACACTAAGATCTCCCGTGTGCAGCCTCCAACAGACTGTTTGAGCACAGTGCTTTTAAGCGAGCACCTATGGAGGCCAGCACGGCAGCCCTATTATGAGGTAGGTGGTCAGCACCACACCCGGCGACCTTTGTCTCCCAAGTGGTGATGTTTACACATTGCATCAGGCTGCTTTGGCCTAGGGTAGGCCCAGGACCAGTTCGGATAATCGCCATCACTGCTGTTGGTGGCCGTCGAGTGGGAATCAAACTCTGGTTGCCAGGTGGTTTGTAGCGCAACGCGTTAGCCCCTGCGCCACCGCTCCCCACGGTCGCACTGAGCCATACACTCATGCTTACACAACACTACCCTCAACTCACACCCCAACACCGTCAGACACACACACCCGCACCTGCTGCCACTCAGCATGGAGATGTCCTGGCTGCTGAGTGCGAACGTGAAGTAGGTCTCCTGGTAGCGCTGTCCATTGTTCCCCACTGCAAAACACCGCGCGCTCCGTCTAGCTCATTTCTCTCATTCCGTCTCGCTTGTTCTGTCTCACTTGTTACTCTCGTTCCGTCTTTATCGTTCCGTCTCTCTCGTTCCGTCTCTATCGTTCCGTTTGTCTCGTTCCGTCTCTCTCGTTCCGTCTTTATCGTTCCGTTTGTCTCGTTCTGTCTTACTGGTTCCGTTTGTCTCGTTCCGTCTTTATCGTTCCGTCCCTCTCGTTCCGTCCCTCTCGTTCCGTCTCTCTCGTTCCGTCCCTCTCGTTCCGTCCCTCTCGTTCCGTCCGTCTCGTTCCGTCCCTCTCGTTCCGTCCCTCTCGTTCCGTCTCTCTCGTTCCGTCCCTCTCGTTCCGTCCCTCTCGTTCCGTCCGTCTCGTTCCGTCCCTCTCGTTCCGTCTCTCTCGTTCCGTCCCTCTCGTTCCGTCTCTCTCGTTCCGTCTCTCTCGTTCCGTCCCTCTCGTTCCGTCCCTCTCGTTCCGTCTCTCTCGTTCCGTCTCTCTCGTTCCGTCTCTCTCGTTCCGTCTTTATCGTTCCGTCTCTCTCGTTCCGTCTCTCTCGTTCCGTCCCTCTCGTTCCGTCTCTCTCGTTCCGTCCCTCTCGTTCCGTCCCTCTCGTTCCGTCTCTCTCGTTCCGTCCCTCTCGTTCCGTCCCTCTCGTTCCGTTTCTCTCGTTCCGTCTCTCTCGTTCCGTCTTTATCGTTCCGTCCCTCTCGTTCCGTCCCTCTCGTTCCGTCCCTCTCGTTCCGTCTCTCTCGTTCCGTCCCTCTCGTTCCGTCCCTCTCGTTCCGTCCCTCTCGTTCCGTCTCTCTCGTTCCGTCTCTCTCGTTCCGTCTCTCTCGTTCCGTCACTCTCGTTCCGTCTCTCTCGTTCCGTCTCTCTCGTTCCGTCCCTCTCGTTCCGTCTCTCTCGTTCCGTCTGTCTCGTTCCGTCTCTCTCGTTCCGTCTCTCTCGTTCCGTCCCTCTCGTTCCGTCTCTCTCGTTCCGTCCCTCTCGTTCCGTCTCTCTCGTTCCGTCTCTCTCGTTCCGTCTCTCTCGTTCCGTCCCTCTCGTTCCGTCTCTCTCGTTCCGTCTCTCTCGTTCCGTCTCTCTCGTTCCGTCTCTCTCGTTCCGTCCCTCTCGTTCCGTCCCTCTCGTTCCGTCTCTCTCGTTCCGTCTCTCTCGTTCCGTCCCTCTCGTTCCGTCCCTCTCGTTCCGTCCCTCTCGTTCCGTCCCTCTCGTTCCGTCCCTCTCGTTCCGTCCCTCTCGTTCCGTCTCTCTCGTTCCGTCCCTCTCGTTCCGTCTCTCTCGTTCCATCTCTCTCGTTCCGTCTGTCTCGTTCCGTCTCTCTCGTTCCGTCCCTCTCGTTCCGTCCCTCTCGTTCCGTCTCTCTCGTTCCGTCTCTCTCGTTCCGTCCCTCTCGTTCCGTCCCTCTCGTTCCGTCCCTCTCGTTCCGTCCCTCTCGTTCCGTCTCTCTCGTTCCGTCCCTCTCGTTCCGTCCCTCTCGTTCCGTCCCTCTCGTTCCGTCCCTCTCGTTCCGTCTCTCTCGTTCCGTCCCTCTCGTTCCGTCTCTCTCGTTCCGTCCCTCTCGTTCCGTCCCTCTCGTTCCATCTCTCTCGTTCCGTCTCTCTCGTTCCGTCTGTCTCGCGACATAATTGCATACACCCCCACCCCCATCTCCGCCTCTTATCTCGAACCCTCGTGGGGTTCAACAATGATGACGTCATCCTACACTATTTAAGATCGGACACAGGTGGATGGCTTCACTATTCTGGCAAAACGCCCGAAGATTCTGGATGTAATTTCCAGTGAAACGTCGTACTCAAATTCTAAATGTTGTGGATCCACTCTTCAACACACCGGTGGGCTAAAGTAGTGAACTATTTGTCTTTTGTCAACGTGACACTTTTTACCGATCGGTCGTGTCGGGTGGTGGAGGGTTGCGACACATTTATAAATAACGCGATCTAACCCAAAAACCATTATTATGAATAATACTGGTCGCGAAAGCCTACGTGTTAAACTGTCTCGTTCCGTCAGTCCCGTTCCGTCTCGCCCGTTCCACTGGTACGAATCTAACATGCGTTTCCAAATCGGGCGGTGACGCAGCCAGGCTGTCACGCGTTTGACGTTTGTTACATAAGTTTGCCACTCGTTATGGTTTGAATCTGGTGGGCCGGCCCCGTTAGTACTGCTTCGCGGTCAAAGTTAAAGATCCCGCGACATCGTGCGAATTGAGCAGGAGGCTACAGTGGACCGGTGTCACGGTGCACATTTGCCAAATTCGGAAAGTTACACTGCAAATAACTCAAATGGGAAACTCACAGCAGTGCGTTCCCTCACAACGATTGCCCTACAGCGCCATAACGACGACAGTGCCCGCACCACGTGTACTCCGCAGGTACTGACCCGCTGAGTGCACTTGGTGCGGTGATCTGGACAAAATCCAGACGTAGTACAGAGCACCGATAGCTTGCGGCCTGAAACGAGCCATCGATTCACAGAAACTCCGGACAGTCGAGGGTAGCGTCGCCAATTAATGGCGAAGCAGCGGCTAATACCGCTGCGGTGTTGGCAGTGGCTTGGTCGTGGGGGGGGGGGGGGGGAGGTCCTCTCCCGACACTCACCGAGGGCCGTGGGGGGCACCAGCTCGTGCAGGACGTCGTAGAAGGGCAGGTGGGCGAGCTGCACGGGCGCCGCCGCCGCCCGCGGGTCGCTCGCCGCGACCGGTTGCGAGGGCGCCGGGGCCGGCGCTGTGCCGTCGGGGGTCTGGGATGCAGCCGGTGCCCGGGCCCTCCCTCCTCCTCTTCCCCCTGCCTGCTGCTGCTGCGACGCGGCTTTGGCGTGGCCCGAGGGCTGCACCGTCGCCGCCGCCGGCGCGGTCGACGAGGAGGAGGGCGGTGGCGCCGGAAGCTTGCGAGGGGGGCGGCGGCGCCAGGAGCTCGTGGGGGGTTGGCGCCGGGGCGGAGGCCGCCTCGTAGAGTTGGGAGAGCGCCAGCGCGGCGTGGTACGGGTACTCGGCCACCGCTTGCGCCACGGCGGCGGTCGGCTTGCGCGGGTAGCGGCGCCGGTACAGCTCCTGCACCTGCGCGGAGGAGCCACAGGCAGCGGGGGAGGGGATACACGGACTCACCCTCGCAGCAGTGCGGGAAGCAGCGACTCGCTCGGCACTCTCACAGCACTCGGGAGACCTCGGCGTACAGCGGCAGTCAGGGTGATCGATGATCCAGCTCAGTGAACCCCGTTACTCTGCTCGTACTTACTCCTCTGCTTACATATCAGTACAATTGTCACCCCCTATGTCTGTTAAAAGTTTCTGCAACTTAATTTCGTGGCGTGATCGGTCTAAACATCATCTACGCTACGGGGAATTTAACGTTGATTCGTGTTTGGAAATATTTTGATTTCTTGCGAGGTGGGGTCCAGTTGTTTTTGCCCTGTTTTCTATTTTTCAATGCTGTACTTCATATTATTTGTTTAGCTTTTGTAATTTTAGTGACCCAGGTCTCCGTTGCAAATGAGACTCATCCTGGCCACTTGAGTTCTCACCTGGTTACACTAAACAAACTTGAAACTTGAACCCACTCGCTTACTCAATCATCTCAATTACCTACTCACCCACCATCTCACTCACCCACTCATTCATCCACTCAGTCACTCAATCATCCACTCGTTCATTCACATTTGCAAATGAGACCCATCCTTGGTCCCTTGAGTTTTCATCCAGTTAACTTGGGTGAGAACTCAAATTCTTCAGTCAACAAAAACTCTGCAACTCCCTGTCTGGAATAATGAACTCATGGGCACCTTCATGCGAACCGCGGGGCCACAGTCGGCCTGCAGCAGCTGCAGGGCGCGTGTCACCAGCTCGTGCTTGCGCCCGCTCTTGTTCTGCCCTGCGAAGCCCAGCAGCACCTGCAGCTCCGACACCCTGAAGCTCATCACCATCTGCTGCGGGGTGCCACCGCACCGGCCAGCGACCGGTGTCGTCAGTGGGTGGTGGGGAGGGCAGGGCGAGACGCACGCGCAGACACACACGCACACGTACGCACGCACAACACGGGCACACAGACGCACGGACAGACACGAGCACACATACGTACGCACAGACACGAGCGCACGCACGCACGCAGACACGTGGATGCACACACACATTCACAGATGCACTCGCATACGCACAGACGCACACACATACGCCCAAATGCACATACGCACATACGCACGGACGCACGCACACACGTACAAACGCACAGACATGCACGCACACACCAGCGAGCAGAGCTCAAACCACAGTGACTAAAATCAACGCGACCGCCACGCAGTCCGGCGCCCGGTACCTTCAAACAGGTGCACAACTTAGTCAGTGTTACCGGTTCCATCGGCAAAATAAATGGTCACCACCATAATGACGGAGAGATGGCACCATCAGCGCCATCGGATATTAGGACAGGACCACCGGCACCATCAGACAGCAACATGAATGCCATAAGACCGTCAGACAGCACAGATAAGTGGACGGCACCATCAATGCCATTCTCAGGGGCGGAGCCACAGGGGGGGCTGGGGGGGGCTTAGCCCCCCCTGAAATTTTGGGAAAGTCGGTAATCAGGATAACCGGATATCCGGCTGCTGCAAAATGCTGCAGGCTGCCACCTTGTGCTGCCCTGCAGGCTGCCACCTTGTGCTGCCCTGCAGGCTGCCACCTTGTGCTGCCCTGCAGGCTGCCACCTTGTGCTGCCCTGCAGGCTGCCACCTTGTGTGCTGCCCTGCAGGCTGCTTGAGCGGCAGCCTTTCGAACTTATCGAACTTATTAGCCACATCAGCGGCTCCGACCTATTAATAAACTCCGCGTTCAAATCCAATAAAATTTGTTTTATAAATTTGTGGCGCCCATTGGAAAACATTACATACTGAGATATCTCAGAATATTGAAGTCAGCCCCCCCCCAAAGTCAAAATCCTGGCTCCGCCCCTGGCCACTTTATTCTATTCTTCCACGTCAAAATATGGTTAGTAGCTGAATGCCAATGTCGAGCGATGAGAGGGACTCAGGAGAGTTCGTGTAGTTTTGCTGTTCCTCCTCCGGTCGAAGGAGCGCAGGCTACAGTGGTTTCCGATATGGTCCGTAGTTTGGGTTGCATGGCCAGTCGCACTATTCCCTTCCTTGTCCTCCTTTTATGAAGGAGATGTGTGCATCGTCGGCCTGTTGACGTTCTCTCATGCGGATGACGGTTACACTAGCGTCTTTGAGACGGAATGTCAAGGCGAGACGGTTGGACGGCGATACGGGCGTCGATATTTCGAATCAATGGCACAGGACAGGCAGACAGCACCAGCAAACAAGCGGACAGCACCATCAATGCTATAAAAATACAGGCAGATGGCCAACCATCAGACAATTGGACAGTCGCAACACGCAGACTGCAGAAGCAGCACCGGAATACAGGGAGCACAAGCAGCACCGTCGGGCACGACCACAGCACCACTGGCACACCGGGCGAGGGGCAGGCGGTGATCATATTTGCGGGGAGCACCACGAGGCAAGTCGGACAGCGACGAGCCGGCACCGAGAGGCCGGCGGGCCACAAAGCACCATCAAAAGCAAGCGGAGGGCAGCAGCAGCAGCAGCAACAAGAGAATCTCACGCGGCACCATCAGCACCACCACGCTGGCGGACAGCACCATCACCATCCCATGCAGTGTATCACCTCGATGGGACACCCCTCCCTCCCATGCAGTACATCTCAGTACAACTTCTCCCCCGCACCCGCGTGGCGCCTGTCTCGTTGCGGCACAGGGTTGAACACAGCAATCAGCCAGAGAGCGGGGCATGAGCAATGCCAGTAATGTGTGGGCGATGCTTGTTGCCCGGCTTTCCAATTAAGTGATTTGCGAGTTAATAGATCAAATTAGAATGTCACGTGATCTTTCAAACAAGCGGCCACCGTGTGAAGCAGTATTGGATCTTCTGTTAGTCAATACAGTCCGCTGTAGTCTATATTAACCAGGGCGGCCTGCACGATTCGAGAGGCGAAACGTCTGCAGCAAGCGGCGAACTCGCTACGGGCCAGGACCACATTCACACCACAGACACGATGGAAAGACAAAGACCCCCTGGTAGCCTAACCAGACTGTGAGGGCAAGGGCTGTTAGCGAGCACATTTAAAGGCCGGCACGGCACACGAGGTGGGTGGCCGCCTTTGTCTCCCTCGTGGCGATGGCTCAACACACCGAACCAGGTACTCATTTTAGGCCCAAGCGACCCAGGAGAGTGGCCCAGGACCGGTTCAGATAATTGTCACCGGTGTTGGCCACGAGTGGGAATCGAGAACTCGGATCTCCGGGTTCGTAGCGCAGCGCGCTAACCGCTACACCACCACTCCCCACAGTGGTGCAGCTAACACAGATCCACCCCCCACCCCCCCCCCCCATATAGCCTTAACAGACTGTTAGGCAAAGTCGCCCAGGAACTGCTTAAGATAAATATAATCCGTCAACACTGGTGGTGGTGTGGCCGTGAGCGAGCGGGAATCGAACCCGGGCCGGCGGGGGTTCGCAGCACGGCGCGCTTAACCGCTACGCTACGGCACCACCAACACCACGAACACCACCATCACCAACAACCATCTCCACCAACATCGCCAACACCACCACCGCCATCACCAACACCACTGGCACCACCATCACCACCACCACCAACAACAACACCACCATCACCACCACCACCATCACCACCACCACCATCACCACCAACACCACCACCAACACCACCACCACCATCATCACCTCCACCAACACCACCATCCCGCGTCTCCAGGAGCGTGAAGCTGGCGGCCCCGCGCCTGGCACGCGGCCAGCACCGCCACTGCCTTGTTTACCCGCGCGCCTTGTTTACCCACACGGCGCGGGGGTGATCGCGGTCAACGAAGAGCCCCGGCCTCTTTGGCGGAAGAAACGCAATCGGCCGAGGGGACATCGCGAGCCAGCGGCGACGATAATAATGTAAACCATTGTGACGAGAACAACGGAGGAGCGCCAGGCCCCCCCGTGGTGCGGGGCATCGAGGGCCTCGCCGACACCGACAAGAAACTCCCGTGAGCATCGACCCCCCCCCCCCACCACCGCGAGAGCGAGGCGGAGCCGGGGCCACAAGGAAGTCCTCACGGGGTTTACGGGGTTTGGGGGGTCCTAGTGGTCACCCTCTTTCTCTAGTTTAAGATCCCCTGGTCTCGGCCAGCACGGCTCTCGGGCTCGCTGGGTTTTGTGATCCCGCGTCTCTGCTTCATGGCGTGCAACTCCGATTCTGCATCCCCGATTCCCTTCATCGCAGTCGAGGGCCTTCGTTCTTGGGTGCCCTAACCTCGGGGTCCCCGTGATTTTGGAAGCCCTCGTCCAAGGAGTCCTCGATGCGGGGGGTCGCTTTATCTCGCGGTTCCTCATTTTTTGGGTCCCTAATCCCGGAACCTCTGAACCTGGGTCTCGAACCGGGGGTCTCCCCGATCCCGGGATCCCCGTCTCCTTATATGGGGGTCTCCGATTCCCGGGCCCCCCGATCCCGAGGTCCTGGTCTCCTTATTTCGGGGCCTCTGCTCCCAGGGGGTCCCTGATCCCCTGACTGCTGGGCCCCTGATCCCCCCTGGTCCCCTCACGCCGCCTTCTCCCGGGGCCCGTGTCTCCGCTATTCGAGAGTTGAGGCCGGGCCGCGGGAGTCGCGCGCCGCCTGCCCCCCCCGCAAGCCTTCGCCGCGCAGCCCACGGGCGGGAAGAGGAGGGGGGGAGGGAAGGTCTTAGGGTTCCCCGGGTCCCCGAGCCCTGGGGTCCCCCCGGGGTCCCCCCACTGGGGGTCCCAACTCCGCGTACCTTGAGCTCGGCGCACTCCGCCATCTTCTACATCGCTCTGACGTCCCCGGCGACGACGGCGGCGGGGGGCGGGGCACTTGGCCGCGACGTCACGCGCCCCCCCTCCACATTCTCTACCCCCCCCCCACCAAAGCGCGGAGGCGCGCGCCCCCATTGGTCCTTGATGCGTCACGTGGGGCGCGAAGACACGCGATCCAGCGCGGGCTCGGCGAGTGACGTCGCCGGGCGCGTGCCGTAGGTCTTTGGCGGCCATGTTAGTAAGGGGCGTGGGGGGGAGGCGACACCCGCAAGTCCCTGCGGGGGAGCGGGTGGGGGGGCGCGCTGAGTCGGTCCTCGATGACGTCACCTCACGCCCCTCCCCCCCCGCGCCGCCTCCACTCCCCCGAATCGCGCTCTTGGGGATCCTCCCCACGCAAGATGGCGGTCGGTGGCTCGGAGGGAGCGAGGCGACAGAGGCGCCCCCCCCCCCCACGCACTTCGCCATTAGCGGCAAACGTTGACTCGTCCAGTTAGATGCTGGGGACCAGGCGGGGGGGGTCACTGTGGGGGGGGGGGGGTCAGAGGCGTCTAAGGGGGAACTACCTGGAAGGGGCGGTCTCATCTAAGGGGGGTGGGGGGGGGTCACCTCAGCGGGGGCTCTCACCTGAGGGTGGGGGCGGGCTGTCACCTGATGGAGCGGTCTCACGGGGTGGGGGGGGGTCATGTAATTTTAGGGTGTCACTTGAGGGGGGTAACTCACCTGACGGGGGAGAGGGGTTAACTAAGTGGGGGTGCTACCTGAGGGGGGGAGGTCATCTAAGTGGGGGTGCTACCTGGGGGGTCATCTAAGTGGGGGTGCTACCTGAGGGGTCATCTAAGTGGGGGATGCTACTTGAGGGGGGTCAGCTAAGTGGGGGTGTTACCTGGGGGGGGGGGTCATCTAAGTGGGGGTGTTACCTGAGGGGTTTACTAAGTGGGGGTGCTACCTGAGGGGGGGTCATCTAAGTGGGGGTGCTACCTGAGGGGTTTACTAAGTGGGGGTGTTACCTGAGGGGGGGTCATCTAAGTGGGGGTGCTACCTGAGGGGTTTACTAAGTGGGGGTGCTACCTGAGGGGGGGTCATCTAAGTGGGGTGCTACCTGAGGGGTCATCTAAGTGGGGGTGCTATCCTGGGGGGTCATCTAAGTGGGGGTGCTACCTGGGGGGTCATCTAAGTGGGGGTGCTACCTGAGGGGGGGTCATCTAAGTGGGGGTGCTACCTGGGGGGTCATCTAAGTGGGGGTGCTATCCTGGGGGGGGGGTCATCTAAGTGGGAGTGCTACCTGGGGGCGGGGGTCACCTAAGTGGGGGTGCTACCTGGGGGGGGTCATCTAAGTGGGGGTGCTACCTGAGGGGTCATCTAAGTGGGGGTGTTACCTGAGGGGTCATCTAAGTGGGGGTGTTACCTGGGGGGTCATCTAAGTGGGGGTGCTACCTGAGGGGTCAGCTAAGTGGGGGTGCTATCCTGGGGGGTCATCTAAGTGGGGGTGCTACCTGGGGGGTCATCTAAGTGGGGGTGCTACCTGAGGGGTCAGCTAAGTGGGGGTGCTATCCTGGGGGGTCATCTAAGTGGGGGTGCTACCTGAGGGGGGGTCATCTAAGTGGGGGTGCTACCTGGGGGGTCATCTAAGTGGGGGTGCTACCTGAGGGGGGTCATCTAAGTGGGGGTGCTACCTGAGGGGTCAGCTAAGTGGGGGTGCTACCTGGGGGGTCATCTAAGTGGGGGTGCTACCTGAGGGTGTTTTATCTATGGAAGGAAACCATTCAGAGCCGGGACGGGAACAAACGCTCACACTCTCATTGACTCTTACACTCCCTCTGCTGTGCAATGGTCAACCTATCTCCATATATATAAAAGGCAAAATTATGTGTCTGTTCAAAATGTTTAGCGTACTTCCCGACATGCAACAAACTTGAAATTTGCCATGTGGGTACTTTCCAGACTGTACACCATGCAAACATTATAAAAATACACGGGTTTTTTTGTGGGGGGGAGCACTTTTTTGCACGGCAAGTGAGCTGTGACGTCAAATCTGTCACGTGACCCGCGCACGTGGAAGCGTAACGCATTGTAGTGTAGTGGTTAGCGCGCTGTGTATGTGTATCTGTGTGTCTGTGTGTATGTCTGTGTGTGTCCGGCAAAACAACCCCCTACCTCCTCGCGGTGCCGGACGGGCAACTCTGTCGTGGACAGTGCTGTGGGGGGAGATCCAATTTTGATTGGCTCCTCCCCTCATGGCATGTGTCCACCACAGGGGCTAAACGGGGGCTCTGGACGGGTGCGAGGGGCTGGTGACCCCTCCACCTTCAATTAATTACCACGAAACCACGAGTTAAACTTTTAACTCCATCAAAAAAGTAACCTGCAGCGCCACACCTATTACCATCATTAGGTGAAAAAACGGTGATCCAATCTCCGACCCCCAGGAACAGGTTTGCAGATTTGCTGAGCATTTCTGTGAGGTCCTGGGGGAGGGAAAATCCCTCAGCCAGGAAAACATCGTGGCACAAAGTGAGGATGACCCTGCTGAGGCTGCGGTGCCTCAAATATTGGAAGAAGTCACCCCCTGTGAGTGGCTGGCTGAGGTGCCATCTGTTGAGGAAGTACTGAAGGCGATCCGGAGTCTGAGACCAGGAAAGGCAGCGGGCAGAGATGATCTCCCAAGCGAAATGCTGAGGGAGGGTGGCGTTTGTGCACAGACTGCCCTATATGACATCATAACAACGGTCTGGACCACTGGACGGGTTCCGCAGGATTGGAAGGATGCCCTGGTGGTCCCCCTCTTTAAGAAGGGGGACCGCACAGACTGTAACAACTACAGGGGCATCTCACTCCTCAGTGTGTCGGGAAAGGTCCTGGCAAGGATTATTCAGCATTGCCTTGCCAAGCACGCTGAGGAGAGGCTTGCGGAGCCCCAATGCGGTTTCAGGAAAGGGCGGTCCTGCACAGATGCCATATTTTCTGTCCGTCTGCTACAGCAGAGGTGTAGGGAATTCCAACAAGACCTACATCTCTGCTTTATTGACCTGGTCAAGGCCTATGATTCTATCAGTAGGCCTGGGCTCTGGGTCGTTCTTCGTACTTTTGGAGTACCTGACCTTCTGCTCACAATCATTAAGGACATTCATGATGGTGAGCGGGCCCGGGTAAAACTACGTGGCCGGGAGTCGGAGCCATTCCCTGTACACCTTGGGGTGCGACAGGGATGTCCTCTGGCTCCCACATTATTTAACATCTATTTTGACCACGTAGTTCGTGAAGCTTTCAATAGCTGTACCGGGGGAATCTCCATATGGTACAGATATAATGGGAGGCTGATCGATGCCCGGGTGCGGTCAAGGCATGGCTCCCTATTGCTCAACCACGTTATGTATGCTGATGATTTGGTAATAGCTGCTCAGTCAGAGGAGGAGTTGGAGACGCTGCTGCTGAGACTGGAGCGTGCCACTAAGAGGTGGGGCCTTACCATCAGCCCCACCAAAGCTAAGCACCTGCCTGGGTATTTTGTACCATCGGACACTCCACCCCCACAACTCCCAATCGGTGATGGGGCAGTTGTGGAGAGAGTGGAGAGTTTCCCATACCTGGGCAGTGTGCTTATGACTGGCTCCAGTTTAACAGCAGAGGTCTCACTCCGAAGCAGTAGAGCGGCAATATCTTTTAATCGGTTGCGTAACGCTGTGTGAAAGCTACCTGGTCTGTCGCTCCGCACTAAGCTTCAGGTCTTCTCGGCCACGGTCATTCCCTCCCTTCTCTACGCTTGCGAAACGTGGACCCCCCTAATGGAACATCTTCGCCGGTTAGAAACATTTAGGCTGGCCTGCCTACGATCCATCCTGGGTTTAACCAGACTGGATTGTGTGAGGAGCTCACAAATCCTTGAAAGATCTGGGCAAGGTCCCATCGGTGAGCTCCTCCGGCGGGCAAGGCTGCGATGGCTAGGTCATGTAGCCCGCATGCCCAGCCAACGCATGCCGAAACAGCTTTTGTTCGGCCGGATTGAGGGGACTAAGCGGGCGCGGCACGGGCTAGAGAGGAGATGGAGTGATGTGGTACAGGAGGACGTGGAGCTGAGTGGACTTGCCGATGACTGGTACCAGCGGTGTCAAGATCGGCCTCTGTGGAGGAGGCTCGTGAAGGACGCTACTGGGCAGTTGGAGGTAGTCGCCCTCCAACAACAACGGAGGGCGGAGGAGCGACGCTCATAACAACGAGCGGAGCGCCGGGTGGCTAAAGCACAGCAGGTTGGCACAGTAGGGGGCACAGGTGGTGCATCAGCCAGTCATCTCAGTCAGTCGACCCGTGGCACCTGGGTCTGCCCCGTGACCTCCTGCCAGCGGGCTTTCGACACTTCACGTGGCCTCAGGGTGCACATAGCCTGGCACAAGCGTCGTGGTGACGTCACCGCCACTTAGTGGCGAATGGCGGTTGTTGTTGTGTGTCTGTGTATCTGTGTGTGTCTGTGTGTATCTGTGTGTGTGTGTTTGTGTGTATCTGTGTCTGTGTGTGTGTATCTGTGTGTGTTTGTGTGCATCTGTGTGTGTGTGTCTGTGTGTGTGTATCTGTGTGTGTGTATCTGTGTGTGAATAAATGTGTGTTTGTGTGTATCTGTGTCTGTGTGTGGAAGCGTAACGCATTGTAGTGTAGTGGTTTGCGCGCTGCGCTACGAACCCGGCAAAAAGAGTTCGATTCCCGCTCACGGCCACCACCGGTGACGATTATTTCAACCGCTCCTGGGCCTGCCCTAGGTCGACTCAGCCTCAACCGAGTAACTGCTGTGGTGTGTGAACATCGCCACTGTGTGTGTATCTGTGCGACTGCCTCCAGCTGCTTCACGACCCTCCTCCACAACAGAGGCCGATCTTGACCACCGCTGGTACAAGTCATCGACAAGTCACCACAACACCTGCCATTTGCCACTAAGTGGCGGTGAGGTCACCACGGCGCTTGTGCCAGGCTATGTGCACGTTGAGGCCACGTGAAGTGTCGAACGCCCGCTGGCAGGAGGTCACGGGACAGGCCCAGGTGTCACGGGCCGACTGACTGAGATGACTGGCTGATGCACCACCTGTGCCCCCTACTGTGGCAACTTGCTGTGTTTTAGTCACCCTCTGCCCCCCGTTGTTGCTGGAGGGTGACTGCCTCCAACTTCCCAGCAGCAGCGTCCTTCACGAGCCTCCTCCGTGGGCAAGTCACTCGCTCTGCGAGCAACCCCCACTCACGCTCTGCAGAGCAGAACATGCAACCCCCACTCACGCTCTGCAGAACAGAGCATGCAACCCCCACTCACGCTCTGCAGAGCAGAACATGCAACCCCCACTCACGCTCTGCAGAACAGAACATGCAACCCCCACTCACGCTCTGCAGAACAGAACATGCAACCCCCACTCACGCTCTGCAGAACAGAACATGCAACCCCCACTCACGCTCTGCAGAACAGACCATGCAACCCCCACTCACGCTTTGCAGAACAGAACGTGCAACCCCCACTCACGTCCTGCAGAACAGAACATGCAACCCCCACTCACGCTTTGCAGAACAGAACGTGCAACCCCCACTCACGTTCTGCAGTACCAGGAGAACATGCAACCCCCACTCACGTTCTGCAGAACAGAACGTGCAACCCCCACTCACGTTCTGCAGAACAGAACGTGCAACCCCCACTCACGTTCTGCAGAACAGAACGTGCAACCCCCACTCACGTTCTGCAGAACAACGTGCAACCCCCACTCACGCTCTGCAGAACAGAACGTGCAACCCCCACTCACGCTCTGCAGAACAGAACATGCAACCTCCACTCACGCTCTGCAGAACAGAACGTGCAACCCCCACTCACGCTCTGCAGAACAGAACGTGCAACCCCCACTCAGGTTCTGCAGAACAGAACGTGCAACCCCCACTCACGCTCTGCAGAACAGAACATGCAACCCCCACTCACGCTCTGCAGAATAGGGGGAGAGCGTACAGAGAGAGAGAGCCTGTCACACAGTCGGGAATCGAACCCAGGCGTGTTCTTGATGCGAGGCACGAGTAGAGGTCAAGTCAGCCAGCGTGCACGACTCGAGTCAGTTTTGGCGCCGATGGAGAGTCTCAGTCGCCTGCACTGCAAAGGAGCAAGGCACCTGTGCCATTTGATTGCGGGGCAGTGTCGTGATGAATGGCAGGCGCGAAACCCAGGCGAACAAAAGCCGCGCCTGCCTTAATGTCGCTTATTTCGTCACGGCTGCCGATGGTAGACGCCGAGCGACAAACTACACTTTCTCATTCAGGTTGGGGTTGAAGTCACAGACAACCACGGCCAGGAGCCGGCCGAGTGCCATCGTCGCTGTGACGTCTCCTTCGTGTATTTGTGGATCGGGGGGCATCGTGTCGTTACGCGTCGTTACGGTCTCTGTTCTGGATTGACCCACAGTCGCACCGCTACTGCAGAGTGTATTTAAAGTTGCCATTTGTGCATCGGGTTAGCCGCGCCTGCCACGGTCCGTGCAGTGGCATGCGGTTTTAGGGTGGACCGTGAGCTTCGGTGGAAGCTCTCCACGGTCGCAAATTCCCATCGACCGTTGCCACCGCCTGGCGGACACAGCGCGGCACTGCAGCCAATTGTCCAAAACATTGCGCGGACCCGAGGAAGGGAACGCCTTAAAACGCGGTTCCTCGGCCCACTCATATAACGCGCCAAGTGTACGGAAGAGAAAAGAACAAAGCAGCAGCAGCAGCTGCATCACCAGATACAATTTGTATGGAGTAGGGAATGGACCAGGAAATAAATGCAGGGTAAATAGAAATATATTTTTTGCTAATACAAGCGATCGGTTGGGCTTGGGGGCCAGGACACGTCCATGGCTCGAGGGGCTGATGGGCCAGTGGGTCAAGGATTGGTGGTAAGAGAAGTTGGCAGCCCAGAGAGGGAGGCAATGCGCCCGAGATCGCTCGGATGGAGCAATGCAATTGGGTCTCGTGCAGGCGCCACCACTGGTTTGTTGCGTCGCGGTTGGCCGCAGGGCGCGCGGGACGGCGGCGACTTCGGGAGGCCTTCGTACGCCGGCGGTGTTGCCCGATCGTGGCTGGGGCGTTGGTGGCCATTCCGCACGTGGCCTGTCATCGAGCGCCGCGGAGGCAGCGCCGAGGGGTTGGGTTTGCCACGCACATTTTTCTGTTTGGCCAAAGTCCTTTTTTTTTCCGTGCACATCGGAAGACGGGCCCGTGTGTTACCCTGGCTCGCCGGAGGAATGTACGATGGCAAAATTGTGGGCTCCACTTGTTCCGTCTGACGCACACACGTGGGATAATAATAATAACGACAATTTCTCTCGCGCCCATAACCGGGCAAACCATTACCAGTGCGGGATACAGCCAGGATACTCCTTTATTAGTCCATTGAAAACAGAAGCGTGAGGGCCACGTACGCAATGGTGAGCATTCTGTAAAAACCGTGTGCGAGCGCGCGCAGTTTTAAACGCATCTTAAACACGTGATGGTTCGGATTCTGATCAAATTGGACTCTGGCCCAGGCGGGCAGAGGGAGGGGACAGCCGCCCCCTCAGTGCAGGCCCCGAGCGGCGTCAGTAGGCCCACGAAGCTTCCCCAACGTTACATTCATTTCATCCAGACCCAGGCAAGACCCGGACCTGATCAGACCCGATTCTCCTTTTCCACTGTCGCATCCGAGCCGGGGTGGGGGCAACACAGGCTTCCCTGGCGGTGTGGCTGGTTTTCCACTGGCAATTTGCCGTGCAGAGCAAAAAAAAATGGAACCATACTACGCTGGCTCTCACGAGGCGTCGCATTCTCGCTCGGGGGGGGGGGGGGGGGGTCAAACAGGGCCGGTTGCGGTGGTAACGACGCTGCGCATCGCATGCGACCTCAGTCGGTGGACGGCGAGGGCGCGGTGTCATCGCGCGCGTCTCCACTCGTTCACCGCGTGCGGCGTCAGCGGCACGGCTCGCCTTCTGCAGTGGAAAATAAAAAAAAAACCACCACCCACTCGATGCGCCGGGCTAACTCGGCATGGCTCCAGCACGGCTCGGTTATGTGCAGTGGAAAAAAAAGAGGTACAACGGGACCCAGAACCAGACCTGAACCCAGACGGCCCCCCCCCCTCCCCTTCTTCACGAGCGGCTGCGGAACGTGAAAACTCTCAAAGCCCGCGGCAATTTGGTCCCCCCCTCCCCGACACCAGCTCGTGCGAACGATGTCGCGGGATCTCTAACATCCACTCGACAGCAGGTGACGTGCTTTGGTTGATGGTGATGATGGTGGTGATGAGGATGATACTGAGAATGACGGTGATTGTAATGATGATTAGAACCATCACTGGGTGGGTGACGGGGTGGGGGGGAGTTCCTCGTGGGATCCAACTCTCCGAGTCGTTTACATCATCACCCCGCCATGGGTAGGCCTCGGCAAGGTAAGGTAAAAACAACGAGCCTACCTTTACCCTACCTTTTACCTTACCACAATACAATCACTCTACCCTACCTTTTACCCTTCAGCAGGTAAGGTAAAAGGTTAAAAGCAACGAGCCTACCTATACCCTACCTTTTACCCTTACCCCATACAAATTACCCGATTACAGGTTAATTACTGGGGTACTACGACACATGAAAAAGGTTTATAACAGGTAAATGCTAGGTAGAGTGCTTTATTCATATAGAATACTCTCGATTATTCCAATTTTACACGCTTTCTTTAAACTCACTCTGTTGTTGTCGTGGTTGTATCTTCAAATATTGTAACTCAATTTCAACCCACTTCCCAATGTGGTTTCGACTGCGAACTTGGTATACTTATGTCATACTGATGACAATACTATATTCTATCATTAATAATAAAATAAAAACATTTTTAAACATTATTTTTCATGTTATGTTTCGGCTTGGGTCTAATTGTCCACTGTCAACTGACGTTGGCTGTAATTTCCCACGGTCCCTACGTTGTGGCAAGTTTCGGGGCCACTTCCTGGAGTCGTGGAGTTCTGCCATTACTCGTAGATTTCATAAAAGCGTGTTTTTTAAAAAAGTTTTTTAAAAATATTACTTATTAAATGGAGGCCACGGACTGTGCCACGGAGCTTTTAGCGGTAAACAAGGTACCGTATTTACCGGGTAATACTTCACGCTACCTTTACCCTACCGGGTAATTCTTCCGAGCTACCTTTACCCTACCCTTTACCTTACCCCTTGGCATGTCGACACCCTTACCCTTTAACTTTGCCCAGGGTAGGGCTGTGCAGGACCCCCTAACCCGGCCACCACTCACCCACCCACCTTCCCCTAGACCGCACTGCGGTGCAGCCACGCAGCTCTAAGCCTCGTGATCAATCGCAGCTCACGATTGATCACTTCATCGGGCTGCGATGGCGACTTGCGATCTAAGGAGACGCCTCCGACTTCGGAGTCCACCGCAACGGAACGCGCTCTTGACTTACGGTATTGTAAAAAAGGAATTGGCCGCGCATCTCCCGGTGTAGCAGGGATGCTATTGGAAACGAGTCTCGAGACTCGGGGGGGGGGGGGGGGGGGGGGGGGGGGGGAAAGGACGTCGCCACCGTTATCAGCACGATTTATAATTACTAACCTTTAAAAACCCGAAGCCCCACCACCCGACCAATCGGAGCGCGGAAATCCGAGGCCGTCCACCTCGCTTGCTCAGGGCCCTACCGTGGAACATTTACAAACGGCGACTCGGTGGCCTCCGACCGCGAGAGAAACGAAAAACCAGGAGACGCCACCGTGGCCTCGGGCACGGCGCCTCCTGGCCATGCAGGCAGGAGGACGACGAGGAGCAGGGGGAGAGAGACAGAACGGTGCCACCACTGAACCCGAATCCTGCGGGAAGCGGCAGCTGCTCGCGCCCGGAACCGAACCCGGGAACCAACTCGAACCTCAACTCTCCGCGGGGGCTCCCTCCACCCCTCACAGCCACCGCCACAGCCCCACCGAGTCCACCGACCGCCACCCTTCACCCATAAAGTGCTAAATTGTACAAAACTGTTCAAGGGACTAACGGAACAGGGGGCTCTACGCAAAAACAACGCTAGCGACGGCGATAGTAGAAAACACGTGCTAATGTAACAGCCATGGCTACAGCAACGACAGTCAAAGACAGGCGGGGCCCGGCCTCACAACCAAAGCGCCCTCGCCCAGTTGGCGCCATGATCGCGACTCTTCAATTAAAGACTGTAACTGGACCCCACGACGACAACGGCGGCGGCGTCATAAATACACGTGGCCCCGGCCTCCTGGCCGCAACCGCAACTCCCTCATCTTAGCCCCCCCCCCCTTCCTCCGATTAGTGCAAACGCTCAGCTGGGGAGGGACGTGGGGGACACGGGGGGTGGGGTGGGGTGGGGAGGGGCGCTGGGGGGGCTCCAGTGGCAACGCTAACGAACGGTGATGGGCGGCCCGTCGCCGTCATCGTCGCTTCAATCTTCATCGTCGCCATCATCGCCTCCGGCGAAGCAGCATCGAGCCACCACCCCCTCCCCCCCCGTTCGGCGATGGGGGGTGGGGGCGGCGATAGCCGGGGCCGGGACCAATGCGAGCTCTGGCCCGGCCCCCGGCCTAACCGGACCGGGACAATCCCGCGGCCCCACTCATGGTGGGGCCGCATCCTGGAACCCGATTCTGTAAACGTTACAGGGAATGGGGAGGGGGGGTCGGAGAGGGCAGGGGGGGGGAGTGGACCCCGCCCGCCCGCCCGCCCCTCCCCCGTCTCCTCGTCGTCGTCGTCAAATGACGCGCGTGGCTTGCGCCAGACCCCAGAGCCGGCGTCCAATCGCCGGCACCATCCAGGCCCTCATCCGGACCTTCCCGGTTCCGGCACGGTCGGCGCAAAACTTCGACTCGGCTCGGAACTCCGCCAGGGACAGGAGAGGGCCACGAAGTGTGACAGAGGAGAGAGGGGACGGGGGGAGGGGGGGGGTCACGTGGTCCCGGAGTTTGGAAGGGAAGTGGGGGGGGGGGGCTATTGCCGCACGCCGTCGATGGCGCGGGGGAACGCCGGGAAGCCGTGCAACTCCGCGAGCGTGGTCGGCGCCAGCAGCGGCGCCGTCCTTCCTCCGGCGCCGCTGGGGCCCAGCTGCGCTTTCGCGCAGTACTCGGCCGCGATGGCCTGCTGCATCTGCAGCAGCGGGTAGAGGTGCGGGTGCGGCCGGTGCCCAAAGAAGCCCTGCGCCACCACGTCGTCCGGCGCCGCACCGTTGCTGGCGCCGCCGACGCCGGCGTCTCCCAGGCGCCCGAAGATTTCGCCGTAGAAAGCGCTCGCCGCGTAACCGACAGCCGGGTCGAGCGGAGGGGCGGCCGGGCACGTCGGCGCTGGGGGAGGACGAGGCGGCGGCGGCGGCGGCGCCGACGGTGACGGCGTGGGCAGGCGCTCGTGCCGTCCCGGCGGCCCCGCGTCGCGGTGCTGCTGGTGCTGCTGGTGCTGCTGGTGCTGCATCATCATGGCGCGGCTGACCGCGTAACGCTCCGTACGGGAACCGCGACCCCCTCCCCGGCCACGCCGGCGCCCGCGCCCTCCCCCTCTATCCGCGGGGGGGCACCAGCCCCCCTCCGCCGCCGTCGCCCCTGAGCCGGCCCCACCGCCGCCCCCCCGTACGCCCCCACGCCCGGCCCTGGTGGGCCACGGTGCCCCCTCGGCGCCGGCGTCACGCTCCAGCTTGGGCTGACGGTGGCGACGAGGGCCGCCGGCGTGGGGGCCACCCGCTCGGCAGCTCTGGCGCTTGACATGGCGGTGGAGGTGGTCGGAGCGTGTGAACGTCTTGGGGCACGTGGGGCACTGTGAGCAACATCAGCAACGATGGCGTCAACGACAGTCGCATCAACGACAATGGCGTCAACGACAGTCGCGTAAACGACAGGCGCATCAACAACAGTCGCGTCAACGACAGGCGCATCAACAACGACAGTCGCGTCAACGACGATGGCGTCAACGACAGTCGCATCAACAACGACAGTCGCGTCAACAACGATGGCGTCAACAACGACAGTCGCATCAACGACAGTCGCGTCAAAAACGATCACGTCTGGACAAAGTCCCATCGGTGAGCTCCTCCGGCAGGCAAGGTTGTGTTGGCTGGGTCATGTAGCCCGCATGCCTAGCCACCGCATGCCCAAACAGCTTTTTTTCGGCCAGATCGAGGGGGCTAAACGGGCGCGGCACGGGCTAGAGAGGAGATGGAGTGATGTGGTACAGGAGGGCGGAGGAGCGACGCCCACAACAACGAGCGGAGCGCCGGGTGGCTAAAGCACAGCAGGTTGGCACAGTAGGGGGCACAGGTGGTGCACCAGCCAGTCATCTCAGTCAGTCGACCCGTGGCACCTGGGTCTGCCCCGTGACCTCCTGCCAGCGGGCGTTCGACACTTCACGTGGCCTCAAGGTGCACATGGCCTGGCACAAGCGTCGTGGTGACGTCACCGCCACTTAGTGGCGAATGGCGGTTGTTGTTGTTGTTGGTCACCTGGTAGGGACGCGCCCCCGTGTGAGTGCGCGCGTGGTTGCGGAGGTCGTAGCTGTGCATGAAGGCGGCTCCGCAGCAGGCGCAGGCGTAGGGGCGCTCGCCCGTGTGCTTGCGCATGTGGATCTTCAGCTTGTCCTGCCTGGGGAGCGGCACCGCACCACACTCTACCACTGCACCGCACCACACTCTACCACTGCACCGCACCACATTCTACCACTGCACCGCACCACACTCTACCACAACGCACCATACTCTATCGCACCACTCTACCGCACCACACTCTACCACACCGGACTCTACCGCACCACTCTACCTCACCACACTCTACCGCACCACTCTACCGCACTACACTCTACCACACCGGACTCTACCGCACCACTCTACCGCACCACACTCTACCGCACCACACTCTACCGCACCACACACTACCGCACCACACTCTACCTCACCACACTCTGCCGCACCGCGCTGCACCATACTGCACTATTGCACCGCACCACTGCACATTGCGTACATGGCACACACAAAATTCACACGCACACACGCAGTCTCACGCACGCAGTCACGCGCAAAAAACAAACATCCTCCCGATAGTCTTCACGAGGCTGTTGTTAGCGAGTAGCAGCACCTATGAAGGCCGGAACGGCACACGAGGGGGTGGGTGGCCACCACCACGCCCATCCGCCTTTGTTTCCCCAGTGGCGATGTTTGCACACCGCACCAGGTGCTCATTTGAGGCTGAGTCGACCTAGGGGAGGCCCAGGAACGGTTCAGATAATCGTCACCGGTGTTGGCCGTGAGCGGGAATCGAACCCAGGTCGCCAGGTTCATTGCGCAGCGTAGCGCTAACCACTACACTACCGCTCCCCACAGTAACACACAACAACAACCACCGCCACTAAGTGGCGGTGATGTCACCACGACGCTTGTGCCAGGCTATGTGCACCTTGAGGCCACGTGAAGTGTCCAACGCCCGCTGGCACGAGGTCACGGGGCAAACCCAGGTGCCACGTGTCGACTGACTAAGATGACTGAGATGTAGATTTGAAGGTTTCGTGACTGCAAGGATCCATACTCTTTGGTTCTATTCGGTAAAGTCACATAGGTAAAAAAAAAAATCACGACGTTTCGGCCACAACACAAGCGGCCTTCATCAGGTGAAGGGAACAGACTGTCTCGAGGACAGCGCTGGAGTGAAACACAGCCAAGCTCAGACCGCGACCTTTCAATCGTACAGTATATTTTTCAAGTAGTGGTACCCCAAACTTTCGCAGCTGCTTAAAATCTCCTTTTCACACCACCAGCATGTGGACGCTACCTTGCCCCCTCGCCAGCCTGCACAGGTCGACCCTCTCCCCACCTTTCATCATGCCAAGTCCGCCTATTAAATGCAATTTTTTATGCTAATTCCTTTGTCAAGGCACCTTAATTACTCTCACACAGCTTAAAGGTCGCGGTCTAAGCGTGGCTGTGTTTCACTCCAGCGCTGTCCTCGAGACAGTCTGTTCTCTTCACCTGATGAAGGCCGCTTGTGTTGTGGCCGAAACTTCGTGATTTTTGTTGTTTTATTTTTTACCTACGTGACTTTACCGAAAAGAACCAAAGAGTATGACTGAGATGGCTGGCTGATGCACCACCCGTGCCCCCTACTGTGCCAACCTGCTGTGTTTTAGCCACCCGGTGCTCCGCTCGTTGTTGTGAGCGTCGCTCCTCCGCCCTCCGTTGTTGTTGGAGGGCGACTGCCTCCAACTGCCCAGTAGCGTCCTTCACGAGCCTCCTCCACAGAGGCCGATCTTGACACCGCTGGTACCAGTCATCGGCAAGTCCACTCAGCTCCACGTCCTCCTGTACCACACCACTCCATCTCTTCTCTAGCCCGTGCCGCGCCCATTTAGCCCTCTCGATCCGGCCAAACAACAGCTGTCTTGGCATGCAGTGGCTGGGCATGCGGCTACATGACCCAGCCAACGCAGCCTTGCCTGCCGGAGGAGCTCCTCGATGGGACTTTGTCCAGATCTTTCAAGGATTTGTGAGCTCACACAATCCAGCTTGGTTAAACCCAGGATGGATCGTAGGCAGGTCAGCCAAAATGTTTCTAACCGGCGAAGATGTTCCATTAGGGGGGTCCATATTTCGCAAGCGTAGAGAAGGGTGGGAATGACAATGGCCGAGAAGACCTGAAGCTTTGTGCGGAGCGACAGACCAGGTAGCTTCCACACAGCGTTACGCAACCGATGAAAAGATAATGCCACTCGACTGATTCGGAGTGAGACCTCTGTTGTCAAACCGGAGCTGGTCATGAGTGCACTGCCCAGGTATGGGAAACTCTCCACTCTCTCCACAACTGCCCCATCACCAATTGGGAGTTGTGGGGGTGGAGTGTCCCAGGCAGGTGCTTAATTTTGGTGGGGCTGATGGTAAGGCTCCACCTCTTAGTGGCAAGCTGCAGGTTCAGCAGCAGTGCCTCCAACTCCTCCTCTGAGTGAGCAGCAATTAGCAGATCATCGGCATACATAAATAACATGGTTGAGCAATAGGGAGCCATCCTTTGACTGCACCCGGGCATCGGTCAGCCTCCCATTGTATCTGTACCAGGTGGAAATTCCTCCGGTACACCTATTGAAGGCTTCACGAACTACGTGGTCAAACTGAGATGTTAAATAATGTGGGAGCCAGAGGACATCCCTGTCGCACCGCAAGGTGTACAGGGAATGGCTCTGACTCCCAGACACTTAGTTCTACCCGGGCCCGCTCACCATCATGAAGGTTCTTAATGATCGTGAGCAGAGGGTCAGGGACTCCGAAAGCACGACGAACAACCCAGAGCCCAGGCCTACTGATGGTATCATAGGCCTTGACCAGGTCAATAAAGCAGAGATGTAGGTCTTGTTGGAATTCCTTGCCAGGACCTTTCCCGGCACACTGAGGAGTGAGATGCCCCTGTAGTTATTACACCAGGGCATCCATCCAATCCTGAGGAACCCGCGCAGTGGTCCAAACTGTTGTTATGATGTCATGTAGGGCAGTCTGTGCACAAACGCCACCCTCCTTCAGCATTTCGCTTGGGAGATCATCTCTGCCCGATGCCTTTCCTGGTCTCAGACTCTGGATCGCCTTCAGTACTTCCTCAACAGATGGCACCTCAGTCAGCCACTCAAAGGGGGTGACTTCTTCCAATATTTGAGGCACCGCAGCCTCGTCAGGGTCATCCCCACTTTGTCCCACGTTGTTTTCCAGGCTGAAGGATTTCCCCTCCCCCAGGACCTCACAGAAATGCTCAGCAAATCTGCAAACCTGTTCCTGGGGGTCAGAGATTGGATCGCCATTCTTTCCCCTAATGATGGTAATAGGTGTGGCACTGCAGGTTACTTTTTTGATGGAATTAAAGAGCGATTTGTGATCGCGGGCCATTGAGGAAGACTCCATCTCCTCAGCAATCCGTGACCAACACCCATCCTTGCAGCGCCTCACAGCTCTCCGAACCTCCGAGCGAAAGCTGCGGCAAGCCTCTTCATTCTCCGACGTGGGATGCTGTAGCCGATGAGAGTGGGCCTGTCACTTTTTCTCAGCCAGCTTGAACACCTCCTCTGTCAGCCAGGAACTCTGGGGAGGTCTGGACCGTGTACCCAAAGCAGCTATTGCAGCTGCATGAGCCACAGTCCTAAACCTCACCCATTTCCCCTTGACATTAGGAGGAGTGGGGGACGATGCCAACCCCAGCCGCAAGCGATGATGAAATTCTCGCTTGCAACTTTCATCAGCTAGCTGAGACCATGCCACGATGGGTATGAATGGGGTCCTGGGTGTACACCCACCATCGGAGTGGAAGAATGGCAGGTGCATCTTACAGATGACAAGTCGATGGTCAGTGGGCAGATCAGCTCCACAGGAGGTCCTGGTGTTAAGGATATCGGCCCGCATCCGCTGTTCCATCACTATGTAGTCCAGCAGATGTTCTAGCTTGGACCCGGCATGCATCCATGATGTTGTGTGGATGCGCCGATGCCAGAACAGCGTGTTGGTAATTATAAGCCCATGGGCTGCACAAAAATCGAGCAGCCTCCTGCCGTTGTTATTAAGTTGATCTGGCCCATGCCTTCCAATCACTCCAGACCAGGTGCCAGCATCATGACCAACTTGGGCATTGAAGTCACCCAACAAGATGACTCTATCCCGAGTGCCCACTTTAACTAGCACCTGTGACAGGAGGTCATAGAAAGCATCTTGACTCATCCGCCTTGCCTGCATCCCTCCACGGATGTTCGTCTTTGGTGGGGGCATACATAACCACGATCACCACTCCTCGCCTCTGGTTTATGGGAAGGCGAGCCCAAAGTAGCCTGGGACTTACAGCTTCCCACACCTCAACACCACGCTCCCACGCCCCCTGCATTCCTTTGTTGAAGAGCCACCTCCTGTTGTTTGGCAGTCTCCTGCCCGGAGTAGAGGACTGTCCACCCCTTATGGTGGCAGGAGCCAGAGCTGGTCCACCGGACCTCCTGAATACCACAGAGATCCAGGCGGTACCAGTCCAGCTCCCGACAAAGGAGTGGCAGCCTCTCCTCAGCAGTGAGCGTTGGAACATTCTACGTGGCCACACGTAGTGGTTTTTTGCTGTTTCTAGAGGAGCCCCGAGGGTTCGGATTCAGTCTCCTGGCTCCGCCAAATGGGGTTTGGCCAGGAGACGTCGTAGACGCCTGTCCCCCTGGGGCCTATGGCACAAGGTTAATAATTACACACCCACAGTCACAAACAGTCAGTCACACAGCAACACACACACCCATGCACACACACACACAGTAACACGCACACACAGTCACAAGCAGTCAAACAGCGGCAGGTGGCGCCGCCGCCGGCTCACCTGGTGAATCGCACTCCGCATGTGCCGCAGATGTACGGCTTCTCGCCCGTGTGCGTGCGCATGTGCCGGGGCAGCTTGCCGGCGCCCTGGATCACCTTGTGGCACACGGGGCACTCCTGGCTCGCCTTGGGCCTGAAGCCGCGGCCGTCCACCTCGCCCAGCACCACGGCGGCCGACAGGCCCGACAGCGCCGACGAGGAGTAGAGCAGGCCGAGGCAGGCGCCCAGGTCGAACTCCTCGCCCGGCTCGCTCTTCACCATCGCCAGCAGCTGCTCGCGCGCCAACTGCTGCTGCTGGTGCTGCTGGTGCTGCGGTGCCGGCGGCGACGACGGCGGCGACGACGGCGGCGACGACGGCGGCGACGACGGCAGCGGCGAAGACGACGACGACGAGGACGACAGGTGGGGAGGAGGCAGCGGGAGAGGGGACGAGCGCGGTGACCCGGGTCTCCCTCTGCCACCGCCGGCGGCGGCGTCGAGCCGGCTCCGCTTGCGCCCGCGAGCCCCTCGGCGTCGCCGGTTGCGTTTGAAGCTGAGGTCGTAGGGCGCAGCGGGCTCGTAGGGCGCGGGGCCGAACGACTCCGGGTTGAAGGTCGTGGGGTCGAACCGCCCCCCGGGGGCACGCGTGGGAGCGGAGGCCCCTGCCTGCCTCTCGCTTCCTGGCTCCACCTTGACGGCACGCGGCGGCGGCGGCGGTGGCGGCGGCGGCGGCGACGGCGACGACGAGGACGGCGGCGGCGAGGACGGCGGCGGCGGCGAGGGCACGGCCATCGGCGGTGGGGACGCCGTCGGCCTCGCGATCGCGTTCTCCGCGTCGTCCGCGGTGAGGTCCGTGGGGTCGGGGTCGTCGGGCGCCGCTGGGCCGCCCCCATCCCGGTGCCGCAGGTGGAAGGGGGGCCCCCAGGGCCCCGCGCGTTTCCTGCGGGAACCGGTCCCCGGGCACGGAGCCGCTGCTGGGCCACACGGAGACAAAGATCCCCCGTGAGTACGGCACAGGACGTGAAACTCCCCTCTACGACAGTGGTGGCAGTGGTGGTGGAGGTGGCAGCGGAGGTGGCAGCGGCGGTTGGGGGGGATGGTGGCAGTGTTGGTGGTGGTGGCGATGGTGGCGGCGGTGGCGGGAGGTGATGGCGGTGGTGGCGATGGTGGCGGCGGTGTGACCTCTCACCTCTCAGCTGAGAAGGCTCGGCCGCCCCCCATCCCTCCGTGCCCGTCCACTCAACAAGCGGCCGCTCCCCCTCATCCTCCTCCGCTTCCTCTTCCACACCGGCGGCACCACCACCATCGCCGCCGTCGCCGCCGCCGCCGCCCCCATCGTCGCCGCTGCTGCCGGCGGCGGCCGCCATGATGTCCCGGCACACGGCGATGACGCAGGGGATGTCGAGGAGGCGCGCGGCGCTGAGCACGTCGGGCAGCGTGCCGCTCGTCACCGTGAGCGTCGCCGTGTACGCAAAGTCCAGCAGTGCCGCCATGGCGCCGGCCGACACGAAGTCCACGCGGTACGCCACCGCCGCCGCGGTCGCCGCCGGGCTGCCGCCGCCACCGCCGCCGCCGACGCCGCCGCCAACGCCGCCGCCGACGCCGCCGCCGCTGCCGCCGCCGCCGACGCCGCCTGCCGGCGGGGTCGCCGGGGTCGAAGGGCGTTCGCTCGCCAGTGCCGGCTCCTCGCCGGACGTGAAGAGCTCGCGGAAGTAGCGGCTGCAGGCGGCGAGGACGGCGCGGTGGGTGCGGAACTCGCGGCCGCGGACCTGCGCCAACGCGCGCGTCGCACCATCGCCGCGGTTACACGTGTCCAGACATACGCGACACCATGCCAACACGCGCGTTAACACACACACACACATACCACGCTAATGCACACCGCGCCAACGCACACACACCACATGCCAACGCACACACACACCACGCCAACGCACACACACACCACGCCAACGCACACACACACACCACGCCAACGCACACACATGCACACCACACCAACACACTGCACGCCAACACACACACACACACACTTCACGTCAACATACACACACCGCGACAACACACACCACGCCAACACACTACACTTAGAGCATCACAATCGGCCATGGTCAATCCATTGCTGGATGAAGGACTCCCCAAGCCGCTGCCACCTCTCATGATCACGCGATGCAACAATCCACCCAGCACTTGAAACTCTTAAAGCTAAAAACTATTTTTTATGTTACCAGGTAATGCTCACTGAGCTATGAAGCTCTTTTTCAGAAGCAAACTGGCCACAAATGATAGGTCAACGAAGCATCTTGTCATCGTGCGGAAATTCATAGCAGCCAAATAATGGAAATTATCTAAACGCGCGATGTTTCTAAATGTGGAGGGGCGAAAACGGAGGATCCGGAGAAATATCCAGGTGACCACGGGGAGAGAAACATACAAATTCCAAATACACAGCAGCAGCAGCAGGTGTCAAGGGTCAGGATCGAACCAACGACCCTCCTGTATACCAGGCGAGGTGGTTAACATCTCCTAGCCGCTTGCTCTACACACGAGCTGATTCCATCTCATCCCGGTGGACGTCTTGGACTAGGCCCCGTTGTTGCCTATCGGCCATCGTCGTCCCTTCTGGGCGTAGCCTTAACAGTCTGTTGGGGCAAGTGCTGTTAGCGAGCAGCACCTACGAAGGCCGGCACGGCACACGAGGGGGTGGGTGGCCAGCACCACGCCCGGCCGCTTTTGTCTCCCCAGTGGCGATGTTTACACACCGCACCGGGTACTCATTTGAGGCTGGGTCGCCGTAGGAGAGGCCCATGATGGGTTCAGATAATCGTCACCGGTGTTGGCCGTGAGCGGGAATCGAACTCGGGTCGCCGAGTTCGTAGCGCAGCGAAGCGCCGACCGCTACGCTACTGTCACCAGTCGCACGCACCGACTGCACGTGACAGCCCGGTCTCTTGAGCTCCGTATCGCTGATCTTCACACCTCCTTGAGAGATGGCACATGAGCTGCCCACCCACCCCACCCACAAGGGGGTGGCCACTTCCTCCAGCCTTTGAGGCTCCGCAACCTCCGGAAGACCAACCCCTCCCTTGCCCAGCCTTGCATGGTTTCAGGCTCCGGTTCGGTTTTCACACTTCCTCAGCAGACGGAACGCTCCGCCAGCCCACTCGCAGGACGATGCCAACTTCCTCTGCTATTTGAGGCGCCGCGGGCTCAGAAATGTCAACTCCACCTTGCCCGGTAGCCGAGGGGTTTCCAGCTCGGCAAAGCTGCAGACCTGATCCTAAGGTCAGAGATCGGATCGCCACTCCTCCCCCCTTAAGGATGGTCCGTCTAGGGGGGGGCGACGCTTCGAATTAGAATTTCTTGGTATTATTAAAGAGCATCTCGCGATCGCGTAGCCACTGAGACAATCGCCGTGCCGCACGGCTCTCTCCGAACCTCCTTGCTGCGGTAAGCCTCCTCGCTTTCGGCCGTGGCGGGATGTTACAGACGGTGGGAAGAGGCCTACCGCCAGGGCCTCTGGCTGCATGAGCCACAGCACCTAAGCCTCGGCCAGATTTCCTTCCGACATTGGGAGCGAAAGAGAAGACGTGTCAAACCAAAAGCTGCAAACGATGATGACATTTCCGACTCGCAACTTTCATCAGCTGTCACCTGAGGATCAGGCCATTGTGGATTTGACTGGGGCCCTAAGTGGCTGCCCAACACCGGATTGGATGTATGACAGGCGCATCTTACGGATGACACACCAATGGTCAGTGGGCAGATCAGCTACACGGTCGGTCATGGTGTCAAGGACATAGGCCCGCATTGCGCTGTTCCGTCACTATATAATCCAGCACATGTTCTTGCTTGGACCCAACATGCGTCCATGCTTCTGTGTGGATGCTCCGATGCCGGAACAGCGTGCGTTGGCGATTACAAGCCCACAGGCTGCACAGATGTTGAGCAGCCTCCTACCGTTGTTGTTGTTGTTGTTATTGAGCTTCACCCGGCCAACGCCTTCCAATGAGTCTGGCCCAGATGCCTGCGTCAAGAGCCGCTCCTCAGGCATTCAAGTCACCCAAGAGGATGAGTTTATCCCGAGGGAGCCACTTTAGTCAGCACTTGGGACGAAGAGGTCATAGAAGGCGTCTGACTCATCAGCCTTGCCGGCCTGCTATCCCTCCACTCGTGTTCATCTTTGGTGGGGGTGTAGGCCACCACCACCACCATCATCATTCCTCACCTATTAATAAGGAAGTGAGCTCACAACAGGCTGCAACCCATGGCCTCCCACACCTCGCGCTCCCACGCCCCTTCATTCTTTTGTTTAGAATAAGTGCCACTCCCTGCTGCTTGACATTATCCTGCGCCGAGTCGAGGACTATCCACCCCTTATATATAATGAGAGGAGCCAGAGCCAGTCCATACACTGACAAAGATGCCCGGGGTAGCCTTTACCATACTGTCGGCAAGCACCTATGAAGGCCGGCGCGGCACACCTATGAAGGGATGGTGTGGCCAGAACCAAGCCCGGCCGATATTGTCCTCTCAGCGCTGATGTTTGACTTCCCACCGCACCAGGTAGAACTCATTTAAGGCTGAGTCGGGGGCGCATTGGCGAGCACTGCACTGCGTTACGAACCCGGCAACCCCAGTTCCACTCCCGCTCACGACCAACGACAGTGGCAGCGAATATCTGATCCGGTTCTGGGCCTCCCCTAGGTCGACTCATCCAAAAGCCTTATGCACACACACACACACGCTTACACTAGACAGACAGACACGCACCGACGCGTGAAGACATGCACAGGCACACGTGTCCACACGTGGCGGTGACAAGCGTTGGTGGAGCGAGGCGGCGGTGGTGGTGAGCGGTGGTGGTGAGGAGTGGCGGTGGCGAGCGGTGGTGGCAAGGGATGGTGGTGAGGAGTGGCGGTGGCGAGCGGTGGCGGCGAGAGATGGTGGTGGCGAGGGGTGGTGGAGCGAGGCGGCGGCGGTGGTGGTGGTGAGCGGTGGTGGTGAGGAGTGGCAGTGGCCGGCGGTGGTGGCGAGCGGTGGTGGTGAGGAGTGGCAGTGGCGAGCGGTGGTGGCGAGCGGTGGTGGCGAGGGGTGGTGGAGCGAGGCGGTGGTGGCAGTGGTGGCTGTGGTGGCGAGCGGTGATGGAGCGAGGCGGCGGCGGTGGTGGTGGTGAGCGGTGGTGGTGGTGAGCGGTGGTGGTGAGGAGTGGCAGTGGCGAGCGGTGGTGGCGAGCAGTGGTGGTGAGGAGTGACGGTGGCGAGCGGTGGTGGCGAGCGGTGGTGGCGAGCGGTGGTGGCGAGCGGTGGTGGCGAGCGGTGATGGAGCGAGGCGGTGATGGCGGTGGTGGCTGTGGTGGTGAGCAGTGATGGAGCGAGGCGGTGGTGGTGGTGGTGGTCGCGAGCGGTGGTGGCGAGCGGTGATGGAGCGAGGCGGCGGTGGTGGTGGTGGCGAGGGGTGGTGGAGCGAGGCGGCGGCGGTGGTGGTGGTCACCTGCAGCAGGAGGTCACAGAGCTGTCCGCCGCGCCGTAGCTCGTTGAGGCTGCTCAGGATGTCGGCGCTGTGCTCGGGGAACGGGATCCCGATGAGCCCCTCCTCGCCGCCCCCCATCGTCACTCGCGGCCCCGCACTTGTTGGGGGGGGGGGGGTACAGAGGGGGGGGGGGTCAAACACAGCTGTGAGTACACTCAGCGGCAGTCACACACACACGCTGCTGCTGCTGGTGGTGGTGGTTTAGTGATGGTGGTGGTTTAGCTGGTGGTGGTTTAGCTGGTGGTGGTGGTTTAGCTGGTGGTGGTGATGGTGGTGGTGGTGATGGTGGTGGTTTAGCTGGTGGTTTAGCTGGTGGTGGTGGTGATGGTGGTGGTTTAGCTGGTGGTGGTGGTTTAGCTGGTGGTGGTTTAGCTCATGGTGGTGGTGGTTTAGCTGGTGGTGGTTTAGCTCATGGTGGTGGTGGTTTAGCTGGTGGTGGTTTAGCTCATGGCGGTGGTGGTTTAGCTGGTGGTGGTGGTTTAGCTCATGGTGGTGGTGGTTTAGCTGGTGGTGGTTTAGCTCATGGTGGTGGTGGTTTAGCTGGTGGTGGTGGTGATGGTGGTGGTGATGGTGGTGGTTTAGCTGGTGGTGGTTTAGCTGGTGGTGGTGGTTTAGCTGGTGGTGGTGGTGGTGATGGTGGTGGTGATAGTGGTGGTTTAGCTGGTGGTGGTGGTTTAGCTGGTGGTGGTGGTGATGGTGGTGGTTTAGCTCATGGCGGTGGTGGTTTGGCTGGTGGCGGTGACTCAGGGTGCGGCGGCGGAGGCGTTCGTGGAGGAGCGTGCGTGACACGTGGCCTCGCTCACTCGGACACTCGCGCTCGCGTATACGCGCACACACACACACACGCTCACTCACGCCGTCTCACTCACTCGCCATCCTCACTCACGCATTCAAAGGCGAAGATCTCCCTCACTCACTCACTCACACGCACGCGGCCGCTCTCCCCGCACCAGGCAAACACGGCCGATGTTGCCGCCGCCTCCTCCTCCTCCTCCAGAAACTTGAGAGATTTTAGCCGGAAGCATTCGGCTGCTATTTTCACACCCACGGCTCCCCACACCCTCTCCCTGTCACACTCCGTGTCACACTCTCTCCCACACTCCCTCCCACCCACACTCCCCCCCCACACTCCCTCCCACCCACACTCCCTCCCACCCACACTCTCTCCCATACTCCTTCCCACCCACGCTCCCTCACACCCACACTCCCACCCACACTCTCTCCCATACTCCCTCCCACCCACACTCCCTCACACCCACACTCCCTCCCACACTCCCACCCACACTCCCACCCACACTCCCTCCCACACTCCCACCCACCCACACTCCCCCCCACACTCCCTCCCACCCACACTCCCTCCCACCCACACTCCCTCCCACCCACACTCCCTCCCACCCACACTCCCACCCACCCACACTCCCACCCACACGCCCTCCCTCCCACACTCCCACCCACCCACACTCCCACCCACCCACACTCCCACCCACACTCCCTCCCACACTCTCTCCCTCCCACACTCCCTCCCTCCCACACTCCCTCCCTCCCACCCACACTCCCTCCCACCCACACTCCCTCCCACCCACACTCTCTCCCACACTCTCTCCCCCCCACGCTCCCACCCACACTCCCTCCCTCCCACACTTCCTCTCCACCCACACTCCCTCCCCACCCACACTCCCTCCCCACCCACACTCCCTCCCCACCCACACTCCTGCCCTCTCTGCCACGCTCGCTGGGCCACGGCCCTGGCTGTGTCAGATACAGACACAGCTGCACTGGTACCTGCTGTGTCAGATACAGACACAGCTGCACTGGTACCTGATGTGTCAGATACAGACACAGCTGCACTGGTACCTGCTGTGTCAGATAAAGACACAGCCAGTCTGGTACCTGCTGTGTCAGATACAGACACAGCTGCACTGGTACCTGCTGTGTCAGATACAGCTGCACTGGTACCTGCTGTGTCAGATACAGACACAGCTGCACTGGTACCTGCTGTGTCAGATACAGACACAGCTGCACTGGTACTTGTTGTGTCAGATACAGACACAGCTGTACTGGTACCTGCTGTGTCAGATACAGACACAGCTGCACTGGTACCTGTTGTGTCAGATACAGACACAACCAGTTTGGTACCTGCTGTGTCAGATATAGACAACAGCTGTACTGGTACCTGCTGTGTCAGATACAGATACAGACACAGCTGCACTGGTACCTGCTGTGTCAGATACAGACACAGCTGCACTGGTACATGCTGTGTCAGATACAGACACAGCTGTACTGGTACCTGCTGTGTCAGATACAGACACAGCTGCACTGGTACGTGCTGTGTCAGATACAGACACAGCTGCACTGGTACCTGCTGTATCAGATACAGACACAGCTGCACTGGTACCTGCTGTGTCAGACACAGACACAACCAGTTTGGTACCTGCTGTGTCAGATACAGACACAGCTGCACTGGTACCTGCTGTGTCAGATACAGACACAGCCAGTCTGGTGCCTGCTGTGTCAGATACAGACACAACCAGTCTGGTACCTGCTGTGTCAGATACAGACAACAGCTGTACTGGTACCTGCTGTGTCAGATACAGACACAGCTGCACTGGTACCTGCTGTATCAGATACAGACACAGCCAGTCTGGTGCCTGCCGTGCCACCTATAGAACACAGAACAATATCCCCCGTGGAGCCCACACAGGCTGTCGGGGTAAATTAGCGAGCGCCCATTAAGGCCGGCACAGCACGCGAGGGGCTCGTGTGGCTAGCACCACGCCCGGCCGCCTTTGTCTCCCCCCAGCGATGGGCGCAGGCGTCCCAGCGCCGGCGTGGTAGCCAGCGTCACCAACCACGTGCCACCAACCACGTGCCACCAACCACGTGCCACCAACCACGTGCCACCAACCACGCGTGACCAACCACGTGCCACCAACCACGTGCCACCAACCACGCGTCACCAACCACGTGCCACCAACCACGCGTCACCAACCACGTGCCACCAACCACGTGCCACCAACCACGTGCCACCAACCACGTGCCACCAACCACGCGCCACCAACCACGTGCCACCAACCACGCGTCACCAACCACGCGTCACCAACCACGTGCCACCAACCACGCGCCACCAACCACGTGCCACCAACCACGTGCCACCAACCACGCGTCACCAACCACGTGCCACCAACCACGCGCCACCAACCACGCACCACCAACCATGCGCCACCAACCACGTGCCACCAACCACGCGTGACCAACCACGTGCCACCAACCACGCGCCACCAACCACGTGCCACCAACCATCACCACAGCCCCCGCCAGACAAGGAGGGATGGGGGCGGGTTGGTGGTGGGGGGGTGGGTTGGTGGTGGTGGGGGGTTGGTGGGGGGGTGGGTTGGGGGTGGGTTGGTGGTGGTGGGGGGTTGGTGGTGGGGGGGGGTTGGTGGTGGGGGGGGGGGTTGGTGGTGCGGGGGTGGGTTGGTGGTGGTGGGGGGTTGGTGGTGGGGGGGGGGTGGGGGGTCTTGCCAGGAGCGCCCAGATTCAGGCTGCTGGTGCCCGTGGACCATCACCGGCACCCAGGAAACAATGGGGGGCGGGGGGGGGGGGCGGGGAGGGCGGGGGGGGAGGGCGGGGGGGGGCACCCCCAGTATCTGCGGGGTGAATCGGCGCGATCGTGGGCGGCCAGGGGCTGAGTCACCCCGGGGGCGACTGCGGCGGTGTCGTGACTCAGGAGGGGGGGGGGGGGGGTGGAGGGGGGTGGAGGGGGGGTGGAGGGGGGGCGGGCGAGGGATGGAGGGGGGGCGGGCGAGGGATGGAGGGGGGGCGGGCGAGGGATGGAGGGGGGGCTGGCGGTCCGTGGTGGGCAGAGCCGGTGCCGCGTCAGCACCCGCAGGAGGCCGCTGGGCCCCGCGCGATAAATCCACGCCGACTCCAACCCCCCACCCCCAACTTCCCCCCCCCCCCAACTCCGGTAAGATTTGACCCCAGCGATGACTGCCCCCACCCCCCAGTGGTAAGTTACCCCCCGTGACGGTCACGCCCGGTGGTGCGCGACCCTTGACCCCAGCCGCCCAACCACCGGGGGGGGCTTGGGGCGTGAAGAGAGGAGTGAGCGGCTCGCGAGCGTCGCACTCCCCCCTCCTCGCCCCCCCCTCCTCCTCCTCGCACTCCCCCCCCCCTCGCACTCCCCCCCCTCGCACTCCCCCCCCCCTCCTCGCACTCCCCCCCCCCCTCCTCCGCTGATGCCCCCAACAACGCTGCAAGGGAGCTGAGTCGTTTGCTTTGCCAACGACGACGGAGCCGCCACCCCCCCTCCAACCATCATCCACCAAGACCTCAACGATGTCACCAACTCCTCCTCCTCCTCGCCATCCTGATCCCAACCCAACAGGGATTGCGATGCTGCTGCTGCTGTTGTTGACGCCCATCCATGAATCTAACCCAGAACCGGAGGGGCGCTGCTGTGGTGCGAGCGGTGGGACGACGTGGACGTCCGGAATAAACACCTCCTCGTTCGAGACCGAATCATCACCGCACCTCCTCCTGCGTGGCTGGGACATCCCTCCTCCTCCTCATAGACACCGGTGGAACCATGTGCCGCATCAGAATATAAATAGGCCGATAAGACACCACATCCGCGTGAGTCTGCGGGTATCCGCGTGAGTCTGTGGGTCTCCATGTGAGTCTGTGGGTCCCCATGTGAGTCTGTGGGTCTCCATGTGAGTCTGTGGGTCTCCGCGCGAGTCTGTGGGGCTCCATGTGAGTCTATGGGTCTCCATGTGAGTCTGTGGGTCTCCATGCGAGTTTATGGGTCTCCATGTGAGTCTGTGAGTCTGTGTGAGTCTGTGGGTCTCCATGTGAGTCTGTGGGTCTCTGCGTGAAGCTGTGGGTCTCAATGTGAGTCTGTGGGTCTCCATGTGAGTCTGTGGGTCTCTGCGTGAGTCTGTGGGTCTCCATGTGAGTCTGTGGGTCTCTGTGTGAGTCTGTGGGTCTCCGCGCGAGTCTGTGGGTATCTGTGAGTCTGTGGGTCTCTGTGTGAGTCTGTGGGTCTCCGTGCGAGTCTGTGGGTCTCTGTGTGAGTGTGTGGGTCTCTGTGTGAGT